ACTTCACCGGTCGGGCAGCGCAGCGAAAAAAACAAAAAACACAAAAGGAGAGAGAGAGAGAGAGAGAGAGAGAGAGAGAGAGAGAGAGAGAAAGAGAACACAAACAGATTTTAACGTGAGAAAACCTTCTCCAATGAAGAAGTAAAAACCCACGGGACCTAGTCTAGTTCAAACGTTCACTATGAAAATAATGGATACAAAGAATCAAAATTCACCAAAGTGATGGTTAACACAACCTCTCCAACAATGGCGATAATCAAACTTCTCTAGAGATGTATCACTCAAACTCTCTCTAGAGATCTCTCAAATATAGAGCTCAAAGCTTTGCTCACAAATCTCTCAAATAATTTTTTCTCTTTTGTCCTAGCCTCCACCCACAACTAATGAATATATAGAGGAGGTGAGATCTAGGGTTTAGGGTTTTTAGGAAACCTCTCTATGGGCTTGGGCTTAGCACAGAAGGAGGAAGCCCAACAAAATCAGTTTGTTCGGTTCAAGGAAAAAAATCATTTTGGATCACCATGCACAGCCTTACTTCAAGCCTCTTTTGTTGTGCCTAGTGATTTGCTATCTCTTAATTACATGGACAATGTTAGTCTTCAGGACAATATTAGTCTTCAGATCCCACATTAATCACGATTTGCTTGGATCAAACAAATAGAATCCAAGATGGCACTTTCAATCAATGATTTAAATATAAAATTATAAGTTAGAGATGAATTTTGGCAACTCATAACCAATGAAAATTTTAAAATCAACAATGATTTTTTTTCTTGATTTAATAAGTTTTTAAAAAAAGAAAGAGACGTATTTTGGTAATTAGTAACAGACAAATTTTTAAAATGTAGAAATGGAAAAAAAAAATTCCTCAGATAAATAAGGGAAAAAATCTGCCTCTCGATATTTTTTGCTTTACGGGATTATATGATTACAATGTGTCTATCTTTGATTCACGTGTTGATTCTTTTAGATTAAAAACAAAATTTCTATTTTTTTAGTAAAGATATTGTTATGGACCAGCCATTAGACTTAGAGGTCGTTTGTATTGACTTTTGAAGAAAGTCTTTCTTTATCACTTCCTTATTTTAAAAGTACTTTTTATAAAAGTTACAGCTATTTAGATTTTTAAAAAAATATTTATTTTTTGAAAAAAATATTTGACTTTTGACTTCTGCTTTTTTTAAAAGCTAAAATTTTTAACTTTAGAAAAAAAAGTAGGTTTTTGGCTTTTTTTATGACTTCTGCTTTTTTTAAAAGCAGACATTCTAACAGACTTTTTTCGAGAAGTGCTTTTTTTTAAAAAGAAAGCAGCTTCTGAAAAAAAAGTCCATCCAAACGGGCTCTTAGAGCTGTTTGGATCCTCTTTTTTAAAGCTAGAAGCTATTTATAAGCTAAAGTTAAAAAAAAAACTTTAAAAAAAGTTAAAAATAGTTTGGTGATTACATAATTTTTTTCATTTAAAAGTTACATAAAAGCACATATTTCAAGAAAATTCTCCTTTTCCATATCTCTATATAGCTCTTTATTTAAAAAAAACATTCATTCAAGAAAAGTTGATAAGAACTTAAAAAAAGCTCATAGAAAAAGTTTCTGGCTTTTAACTTTTTTCTACATTATAAAAAGAGTTTTTCTCAAAACCTATTGGCTTAGCTTATGCTTATAAATAACTTCTAGCTTAAAAAATAGAGGATCCAAACAGTCACTTAATTTATTAGCTCATTTTAGGCTAATTTAAGGGTTCATCCACAATCTCCCTTCCAATTGCACCTCACGCTCCTTTGAAAGGGCTTAGCCTATGCATTAGGTTGGGAGAACTGCCATTAAAAATGTTACTGGGAGAATCTCTCCCAATATAAGTCATAGCATGTTTGATGTATAGTATAGGATAAAGTCTGATAGTATAAGACCTTATAGTATAAGACCTGATTAAATTTTAATACTATCCAGCTTTTGGTATGGTATTGTATAAGATAATATCCTCCAATGTTTTAAAAATTAATATATTAAAAAAAATTATTTTAATATATTAATATTGAAATGATATATTGGTTCTTGAGAATTGTACTTATAAGTAATATTAATACATCAATCCCTTGTCAGGCCTAATCCCACATCCTTAGCCCTGATTAAGTTATACATCATTTTGATGTATTAAGGGATTCTGATGTATAAGCTTATACTATACGATGGTCACACCAAATAACTGAAAATGTCATAACTATAGTATAAGCTTATACTATCAAGCTTTATACATCACACCAAACAGACCCTCAATTGGTGTTTGAAACGGACTAGACCAGATTAGATAAAAAAAAAAATTAAAAAAGAAGAGATCAATAATAGATTTTTGCTTCAATGCAAGTTCCATAAAGTTGCAAATTTTGATAAGAAAATGGTAATATGAATAATTTTTAATACAAATTATTGCCTTTAAAAAGGTTAATATAATAAGAACGACTTTTGAAATAAATTGTTTGAGGGTAAAGTGTGTGTCATTTTTTTTTTTTTTGGTACATTGCCAGGAGGTATCCTCATTCAACCTTCTATGGGCACCATGCCCTCAGGGTATGGCCCGTTTGGGCTAGCCCCTCATTATAACAGTGGGTGCACTAAGCTTCGCAACCGGAGAAAGGACGAGACTAATCCCCCAACCGAAGATTTTTTGGCTTATCCTCTGGCCCCCAATTTTTTTTCCAAGAAACTGCTTGAGGCAGGGTTTGATCCCTGCACCAAGCAATCCCTTGGAAGCTCAGCTGCCAACTGAGCTACCCTTGGGGTTAAGTGTGTGTCATTTTAAAGGATGTAAAATTGTGTCATTTTAAGAGAGAGAAAAAGATAGATAAAGGAGGAGAGAGAGTTGACAAAAAAAAAATAAAGGTACCGGTTCCACCTCTTTGTAAGAGTGAAATGATATAAGTTGTGTCATTTAAAATGATAAACACTTTTTCCATTGTTTGATCTTATTTTCATTTTCAATTTTTGATTAAAATTATAGTTGGGTTCCTGAAAATGTTTTTTTTTCAATTTAGTATTTATAATTGAAAAATATTATTTTTTCGACTTTCCATTTTATTAGTTCAAAAGTGTTAATTTTAAAAAATGATTTGTAATGTTAAAAGATAATATAATTTATTTTATTCGGTCAATTAGGCTAAAATGATTTTGTTTGAATAAAATTCATCTCAAAAATTATATGAGTATTGTAAACTAAAATGTTATATGCACACAGATGTTTTACGCGATGTATAAGTTGTTAAAATGATATCATTTTAGTTTTTTTTTTTAAAAAGACATCGTTTTGATTAGAGGGGCCGTCCCGATCCGCCGCCAACCCGCCAAAATTGGGTTGGCCCGCCCCGCCCTGTATTTTAATATGGGTTAAAATTTCCAACCACCAAGTTTTGCGGTGGGTTGGCGGGTCAACCCGTCTAAAAAATAAAAAATAATTTAAAATTAAAATAAAATATATTTTATTAATTTTATAATATTTCTTATTTTCATTTCACAATCCCTTTAGTTTTTTTTTTCAATCTCAAATCTAAATGTATACTAATATTCAATCAAATAATTTTTAGGAATTTATTTTTTCCTCAATATATGGATGACCTTGTAATAAATAAAGTTTTTCTTCTTTATTTTTCTAGGGAAGTTCCAAGATAATTTTTTTTTCATATTACAAAAGTTTAGTGACAAATAAAAGACTACCTATTAGTAAAAATAAAAAATAAAAAATAAAAAACTCGCGGGTCAACCCGCCCCGACCCACCGCCAACCCGTTTTGACCTGCAACTAAGCGGGGCGGGTTGAGGTTGGTTGAAAAGTATAACCCAATCCGTCCTGATTTGGTGGGTTGACGAATTGATCCGTCGGATTCAACCCAAATTGCCACCTCTTTGACTTAATTAATTGAGTTGTGTATGTCGTGTTATCTTTTAATTTTAAAAATAATAATAAAATCAACATTCAACCTTATTTTTTTGGTGGATACACTAACCTTAAATAAAATTAAGGAGAGATGAAAAAGTTGGCCAATTCAAGTTTTGTGACGATTTTGACTTTATTTTGGGTCTTTGGCCTTAATCAATGTCGAAATCCTAATTAATTGAAAAGGTATTTTCTCTCATTTTTTAATTAATATCGTGGTCATAACTAGTCATACTTGTGTTAGAAGCCAAAAACAAAAAGGTGAAGCCATTAGGAATAATGTAGTAATATCATGTTTTTTTTTATAGACATGAGGGGATTAAACCCCAGCAAACAACAACAACAACAAAAAAACAAAAAAAAACAACCTAACAAGGAAGAGTAACTAGACGCTCTCTCCCAACAGATGCTAGGTCCGCCAAAAACAACAGCAAAATTACCTCAGGAGGTTCTTCAAAGAAAATCTGACCCACCTGCTCTGCTGAGTTGAACAAAAAGTTTGTCAACCAATCAGCACACATATTCCCTTCCCTATAATTATGTTGAATCCTCACATCCCAGTCCTTACCAATCCACATTCGTATACGAGAAAGCAACCGCTCCTCACGAACTGCTGCACCCTGCTTGGTGAGCCCAGTGATTGCCGAACGCGAATCACTTTCAAGAATGACCCTTCTGTAGCCAGCATTCCAAGCCACTTCAAGGCCATGAAGAATACCCCAAAGTTCTGCTTTATAAGCTGAGCAAAACCCCAATCTAAAAGAGAAATCAGTTAACCAGTTACCTTGAGAATTCCTTATCAACCCTCTGCAAGCAGCCAATCCTGGATTACCACGCGATGCTCCATCCGTGTTTATTTTAACAAAGTCATCACTAGGAAACTGCCAGCAAATATTCAATCGACTATAAGCAATATTCTTGATGTGACTACCAGTCCTACTATAACTAACCTCAATATCATTCACCAACTTGGAAATAATCTCGATCTTGATTTCCAAGGAAGGCGAACTTTGATCATGAATTTGCATATTTCTCCAAAACCAAATTTTCCAACAGGTTACCAGAAGCGCTGTTCTCTATTTTTCTTGCACACCGCTAGGGATGGTCACCACGTTACAATACAGCCAATGATAAAGATCCTGGTTGAAAAAATCCTCTGGTAACTGCGAAGGAAGAAACTGGTCCCAAATCCGATTAGCACAGTTACAATCTCTTAAAGCATGCAAAATCGTTTCGTCATTGGCCCCACAGTATGGACATCTGCTATCTCCCTCATTCCAACTAGCAATCCTACTTTTTGTTAACAGCCGATGGTGCAACAGTTTCCATCCAAAGATTTTCACCTTTTGAGGACCGTTCCAAGACCAGAGGCACTTCCACATCTCCCTAGCTTCAGCATCCACGATTGCATGACCATACAGACGATTATAAATCTCTTTGACCGTGATTAGATGACTATTATTGAAACTCCAAATAAGCCTATCAGGTCTGTCTTCATCATGAGGAGCCAGAAAACTATAAATCATATTAGAGACATTACTTGGAAGCATTGACCGGATCCACTCCATATCCCAATCCCCCGCTTGCGTAACTGCCTCAGCCACTCTCAGATTATCATTTCTCACGCTACCCTCATCAATAACTAGCTCCCTTAGCGTGCGATCCATCGGCAGCCACTTATCACACCAAAACCGAATCTCTTTTCCATTACCCAACTCCCACAACAAGTTTCCTTCCATAATGTGCCACAACCTACACATATTTTTCCACAGACTAGAATCGCCATTCCTAGCTTCAAACATGGCCTGATTTCGGCTACCCCTCTTATATTTAGCAAGAAGCACCTGCACCCATAAGAGATGAGGCTGCGAGTACATTCTCCATATTTTTTTAGCCAAAAACGCATCATTCATAAGATCAAGACGTTTGATTCCCAAACCAGTCTCACCCTTCTGAGCAGTAATTACATTCCAACTAATAAATGATGTTTTCGGTGATTATCATGGTCACCCCAAATAAAATCCCTCTGGATTCTCTCAATTTGATTGCAAACTGCTTTAGGGAGCTTGCAACTTTGCATATGAAAATAAGGAATTGCAGACAACACATATTGAGATAAAGATATACGCCCTGCCTGAAATAGACACTGTTTCTGCCAGTTACTCATTCTTTCTTGCACTTTATCCACTAAACTAGCATATAAATTCTTCGAAACTCGGCCATGCTGCATTATAGCTCCAAGATATCTCCCCATATTCCTAACCCGCTTAAAACCACTGATTTGAACAATTTTATCCACTGTTTCAGCAGGAGTATTCTTTGAGAAAAAAATACAAGTTTTATCAACACTCAATTTTTGGCCAGACATCTCCTCAAACAGACTCAAACACTTTAACAAGGTGAGAATTTGATCTTCCTTTGCCTCCATAAACATCAACAAGTCATCTGCAAAAGCAAGATGCGATATCTTTGGACCACCTCTCCCTGCCTTAATTGGCTTCCACAAACCTCCTCTATTGGCCGTGAAAATAATGTGAGAAATTTTCTCTAAAGCCATAACAAAAGATAAGGAGATAGTGGGTCACCTTGACGCAAGCCTCTAGAAGTTTCAAACTCCGCAGTCTTGCCACCGTTCCATAAAACATTGATCCTAGAAGATGACAGACACTGCATGATGATATTAATCAGCCCCTCTGGGAACCAAATCTCCTCCAGAGTCCGACACATAAAAGACCAACTAACTCTGTCATAGGCTTTAACCAAATCAATTTTGATTGCCATGTACGCTTTTCTGCCTTTCATTTTGTTCATAGCATGAATAAGCTCTTGCGCAATTGTAATGTTATCCTGAATCTGCCTATTTGGCACAAAACTAACCTAGACAGGAGAAATAATTTTATCCAACACATGCTTTAACCGAGAAACAATCATTTTGGTTAACAGCTTGTAGATCACTGGGCAAAGAGAAATCGGACGGAATTGCGCAATGTACTCAGGCTTCTTAGATTTTAGAATTAATACTAATAAAACTGAGTTGATATCACGAATTGCTTCAGGATGAGCCCACATGAATTTAATCGCTTCACAAACCTGAGTTTTAACTTTACCCCATTGCCTTTGAAAAAAGATAGCAGGATAACCATCATTACCAAGAGCTTTGAATGCACCCATATCAAACATGTTTTGCCAAATCTCATAATCATTTGGAGGAATAATCAGCGCCTGCAGATCCGCTTGCGTGAGCCTCGGCCACATACTCTCGGATGAAAGCCAACGACGATCAACCACCTCCTTCGAAAAAAGATCTTTATAAAAATTGCAAACATGGGTCTTTAATTCCGCTAAATCTTCAATCCACTACTCTGAACTATTTCGAAGTCTAGAAATCTTATTACTGCACCGACGAATAACAGTTTTGAGATGGTAAAATTTTGTATTTTTATCGCCATCGACAATCCACTGATGCCTTGATTTTTGATACCACATAAGCTCCTCCTGCTCCAAAGTCATATTAAGATTTTTCTGAACCCGCTCCTCCAGATCTTGGAGCCTAGGGTTATCAGCTCTTTCTCTTTGTGCTTGAATACTCGCAATTTGCTGTGATAACATATTCTTTTTTTAATGATATCCCCAAACACATCTTTATTCCACTTTTGTAAATGAGGGATGAGATTAGCTAACATGTCACATATTGCAACACGGGAATTCCACCTTTCCTCGATAAGCCCCTCAAAACCAGGATGGTTCATCCAAGTTGCCAGAAAATGAAATGGCCTATTACTCCAATCTTGTTGTTGTTTCTTCATAGTTATCAACAAAGGGTTATGATCAGATAAAATCCTAGGCAAAGTTCTCACTTCAGCCTCTTCAAAAGTAATTCTCCAACTCACATTTGCACAAACTCTATCCAGCTTCTTGAATACCCGCTCCAAATGATTCCATTTTGGGCCTTGCCACGTATACTTAGAACCAACACAATCCACATCCTCCACTTGACAACGGTCAAGGAAAGAAAGAAATCTCTGGCACTTTGCAATGTCAGGACTTGAACCGCCATTTTTTTCACTACTAGCCTTAATGTCATTGAAATCCCCAGCCATTATCCATGGCTCATGAATTAACGAACTAAGCTGAATAAGGTCCTCCCACATTAGGTGTCGATTACCTTCATGAGGACTACCATAGACAGCCGTACAAAGAAAACTCAAACTATCAACCAAAGTCACCTTCATGTGAATGTACTGATTTGTTTGTTGAATAGCCTGAACCTCAGCTCGCACAGAATCCCAAAAAACCCAAATACCACCAGAGAAACCATTCGCTTCTTCTATAATCATTTTATCAAAATTGATTTTCTTCAGAAGTTTTTTACACTTACTCCTGTCGGTCCTAGTCTCCATAAGACCCACCATACACACCTTATGTTTCACCACTATACTTTTAAGAGTTCTCCCAAGATTAGGCTTCGTCGCCCCTCTGCAATTCCAAAAGATCACAGACATTAACAATGATTGGGTTTTTCGCAGGCTGATCATGCACCTGCAACATGGATCTCTTCATCAATACAGCTGATCTGTTCCTTGATTGCTCCTTTTCCCTTATTCCCCCTTTAATGGCTGAAAAAGGATCGAGAGGTTTCAGTTCTTTAGTGGCTGATTTCGGTTATAATATTAAAGTTATTTTTTTCTCTTTCTACGTCAGCCAACAAATTTAATATTATAACTATGTACTACCCGTAGTACATAGTTAAAAAATATGTGGCTGAATAAAACCTTATATCCAATCACATGACAAGCCATTTTCCTTATACATATATATATGAGATAAACTTTTCTCAAGCAATTTGAGATAAACTTATCTAAAGCCATCCCTTATAACTATATACTACGAGTAGTACATAGTTATAATGTTAAAATTTCTCTCTTTTTCTTTCTCTTCAGACGATTTGCATAACTTATTTGCTGACGTGTAATGTTAAAGTTATTTTTTCCCTCTTTTCAGTCACTTTGTAGAACTTGTCTACTCACGTGGAAAAAAAGTTAATAACTTTAGCATTATAACTATATATTACTCGTAGTACATAATTAAAAAGAGTAGATTGAGATAAGCTTAACAATAATGAGTTCAAAATTTCCTTTCCAAAGTCATTTACCTTATGTTGGGTAATATATTTTGGCATTTTTCTTCCTCTGTTTTCTTCATCCATTCCATGTGTATGCACAAACTCCAACTTAATTAAGACTTGTATTTGTTCAAAGCCACGCGCTTCGATTTTTGAAAGGTCATGTTTATCTTTTTGTGATTCTTGTTTTCGGATCAATGTTTCTCATATTTTATAAAGAGTCATTTCAATACAAAATGTTAAGATGTTGGGTGATGACTTTTTCAAAAGTTTATATTATTCTTTAAAGCTTTGTTTGAGAGTTGGTTTTAGGAGGGAAAGAAAGAAAAAAGAGGATTTTAGTATGTTCTCCCCTTGTTTGTGAGTTTAAGAAAATGAGGGGAAGAAATTAGGGATTTTTACTAAACCTTTCAAAACTCTCCTTCTTAAAATTAAAGTTCACCCAATTTGGGGGGTTTGAGGGGAGAAAATATTAAAAGTTATTTATCTACTCTTAGCATTAAAATGTGAAAACCACATAAATGTGAATCATTTTTAAATGTGACATTACTAGAAAAGTCTCAAAATCGACAGAATTTATTGACGAAAAATATTTCGTCAAAAATAGTGATAAATTTTTTGATGAAAATCATATACGTCAAAAAATTTCCATCAAAACTAAAGACGAAACCAGATTTTCCCATAATCACAGACATAAATTTTTTACGAAAAAAAATTCAGTCAAAATTATTGACAGAATTTAAATTCCATCGAAACTTTCAACGAAAATATTTCTGTCTAAAATTTTGACGAAACACATTTCCATCAAAAAGTTTCAACGTAAAACAATTACCTAAATTTTTTTAAAGAAAACATTTCCTTCAAAAAATTTCGACAAAAAATATTTCCCTCAAAATTTGTGACTAAAAACATTTATGTAAAAAAATTTGATAGAATTTTTTTTTGTAAAAATACTTTACGGAATCTAAAATTCGTCAAAATATTTCACAAAAAACATATTCATTGAAATTTTTGACGAAAAATAGTTCCAATTTTTTTTTTTCAGTTAAACACATTTCCATTGAAATTTTTTGACAGAAACATTTTCGTTAAACTTTTTGAGAAAAAAAATTTCCGTCTAAATTTTTAACGAAACACATTTCAATCGAAAATTTTCGACGTAAAATATTTCCATTAAGTTTTTTGATAAAAAAAAAAACTTCCATCAAAATTGTGAACGGAACACATTTCTGTCAAAAAATTTAAACAAAAAATATTTCCGTAAAAAATTTGACAAAAAATATTTCGATAACAAATTTTGAAGGAAAAAATATTTTGTCAAAATTCTTTGCAGAATCTAAATTTCGTCGAAAGTTTTGAATGAAACATTTTCCTCAAAAATTTTGACAACAATTTCCGTCGAATTTTCGATAGAACACATTTCCATTGAAGTTTTGAACGGAAAATATTCCATCAAAATTTTTGATGGAATTCTTTTTTCGTTTAAAACATTTGATGGAGGAAATCATTTTTGTCAAAACTTTTCACGGAAACTAAATTTCGTCGAAAATTTTGATAAAAAATTTATTTTTGTAAAAATATTAATCGGAGAAAAAATTCCATCGCTTTTCGACGAAAAGTATTTCGACAAAAAAATAATTTTGTAACAAAATTTTCGTCGTTTGCAACGTAGAAATTTCATCGAAAATATGATCTTTTTTAGTATTGCGAAAAGTACATAAATAATTTTGTTAGAAATTTTAAATTTAATTTAATTTAATTTATAAAATATAATAAATATATTAATTTTTAAAAAGGGTAAAATGGTACAAATATATCATTAACTCTCCATTTTTTCCCTTACCATTTTTTTAACCCCCAAACAAGGGAAAAGAATACCCTTCAATTTCATTTCCTTCAATCCCTTCCCTCCCCCTTGGATTCCCTTCCTTCCCTCCCTTCCAAACTCCCAAACAAAGTCTAACACTCTCCTTCATGGAAGAGCCCTTTGGGCTAGAATTGGTGAGGATCGAACCCGTGACCTTGTAGTCACTGAAACTCTGATATTATGTAAAAAATCATTTCAACCTAAAATATTAAGGTGCTGGGTGAGGGCCTTTTAATAATTTATATTATTCTCTCACATATTTATTTCTTACAAATATGAAAAATATTGATCAAATTATTTTTTACTTGAATTTTTGTGCAATCCTTTCTTTCTCCATAAACATGACCATTCTCATTTTTTTATATTTGTTTTCTAATCTAGATACAAATGGAAGGTGCTTTTTTGGTATGTCAAATGGAAGCCTTTAAAAACCTTCCATTGCATTTATCAAATTTCCAAATAACGTTTTCCCATATTTGATATATTGTACCAAAAAAAGAAAAAACACTTTCCATAATTTTTCCTTCCTTATAGTTATTTGTAGAGGTTGCCTGGAAATGCCATATCTGCTTACATGAAAAAGATTAATAATTTTTTTGGTTTACTCTTAAGAATCAAAGGAAACTTCCTATCGAAGTAACCACATTATTGCTTTGCTTTCTCTCTCTGTACATATAAATATAAATTTATATTAGTGTAAATGTTACAGTACTCATTATTAATCATTAATTTAACTTACATATATATTAATGGCTCTAATTTATTAATAACATGAATCCTTAAATACAAATGAAATCAATATAAAATTGATAGATATAAAACATGTTATTGTAACAAAAAAAAAAAAACCACATGTTGCCTTTTGTGGATACTAAGTCGTATATATATATATATATATATATATGTAAACGCATTAGAAATTCACAAATCTCAGACAAAGAAGAAAAACCTCTAGTATTTGCAAGCGTATTTACTTACCAAGGTTGAAAAATGGATTCTTCAATGGGAGGTGCTGATGGGTCTGGTGATGAAAGCACTCACAACCCACCCAAGGGAAAAAGACCCTCCTATCAACGCCTTAATTCCGCTCAAACAGCCAAACTTGAAAAGTAAGATGACCCTTTTTTGTTGATAATCTTTTTCTTTTAATATTTAATTAATATACTGATTTGCTTGGTTTTGAGGTAGCATTGATCTCACTTTTTGGATGAAGGATATGAAAGGATTAACCATATATTAATCCCGCCGCGTAGTAAAAACCGAGACTGAAAACAATCCTCTTTGGAGAAAGTGCTAGCTAGCTATTTTATAAAACTTTTATGTTTTTTTTTTTTTTTTGAAAAACAAAAACTTCTATGTTTTTAATCAAGCTCAATGCATCTCTCTGGATTGATGATGAATAATTTCTCTTTAGTTTTTCTTCGTTTGGCTAGATCTCTTTGATGACATGGTTTTTCCCTTTACTTATATTTGGTTTAATTGTTCTAAAGAAATATATTGGTACGTTTGATTGTATGATCATGAGTGGCTTGATTTCCTGCTTTGGTTCTTCTTTTTATGAATGGCTTCTTTTTATTTTTTTTAAGAAATATTCCAATCGGTACATTGTTTCGAACTAATCCGATTCGAGACGGGTCCAGGATTAAGGCTTAAACCCCTCCCTTTTTTATTGATTACAAAGATTTTGCTTTTTTGTTTTTATGCCTTGAATACAGTGTGAGTGTTTGTTTTTTTCTCAAACGTCCCAATCCTTTAATATTGAATGACCGTGAAAATAAATGTATCTTGATAAAACTTTAACGCACATGTATTTAATTTTAAAAATGGAATGGAAATTCTCTATTTTTTTTATAAAAAAAATCATATTTTAATTCGATGTATTTTATTAATCGTGATTCTTTCAGTCAACTCTTTGAAATTTATTCAGGATCGAGAAATGAATGGTAAATGATTTAGAATTATTATATAGCCAAAAGAAAAAATTAATTGGAATAAGAAAAGAGGACAATCTTAAATTCTATCAATCATTTATGTGTACCGTCATTCCATTTTCTTATGAAGTGTCAAACTACATGTTAGTCATATGCCAAACATAAACATTTATGGGGCTTTTGACACTTATCAATAAATAATAATCTCTCGAAATGAAATTTTTTTAACACGTACACTATTTAAACATATTTAAAAATATAAGCATATCAAATATATATTAATATATTTTCATATTTTCTAATTAGAGTATGGGTTCGAATAGATATGCACTGCATAAAATAAAATGGTTTGGTTAGCATATTCAATTCTAGTTTAGTAAAATTAAAGGAAACTTGTAATAATTATCGGGTCGAGTCTCAGGTCAAGCAGCATGAAACTCATTGAACTTGATTTGACCCGAGATACTATTATTTATTCATTCTATTCAATAGTGTATAGTCATTTAGATAACCGTGAGTGTTTGTCAAATTCCCAAGAAAACCAAAACCTATAGTCATTAGCAACCACTAACCAAACACATTGATCTTGTGTGTGAGTGTTGGTTGATAGACCCTAGTATCAAGCTTGTGTGCGAGTATCAAACGACTCAGGTAAGATATGAGCTTTGTGATCTGTAATAAATGGTGGCATGCATTGTTGTTTGAATAGTTCGATTTGTGATTCAAATCGCATGATTCGATATGATTTTCCAAATCAGCAATTAGCATCATGTGATGGTTAAAAAATGACTTTGAATCATGCGACAAAGCATGAATCAATGTGATTTTGTTTCACCGATACGGATTACATGATTCAGAGATATGCTGATTTATTTTTTCTTTTATGTTTTTCTTTCATCAATTCTCATAAAAGAAATTGAAAAAAAGAAAAGGAACTAAAAGAACGCTATTGAATGCACCGTATTTAATTATTTTGTTATCCTATTTTCCTTATGTTGAAGTGGGGGCTTCACAAAGACATAAAGTTACTCTATGCATCCTACTTGGCTATTTCATAGTTTTGTTTTCATTCTTTTGAAACAAAGGGTTCACATAGGCACTTGTTCACTTTATATGCACATTATTTGGCTACATCGTTGCTCTGTTTTTATTCTTCCGAAAAATAAGCTAAATGCAATCTCTTTGTGACTCATGTATAACATGATTTTGTTTTGATGAGACATGATTTAGTTGTTTTGTCAATACCTAGTTCCTAATTCAAAATTATTACATTGAGCATTATATATCATTTATATGATATATTTCAAGCTAACAAGTTCTTGTATGCTTGGTTGGGATTTTATTTTCCTCCAAACTCAACCTACGATCACCCGATCTCTAAAACTCATAGGAGTGGGAATAGGTCATGTGGCCTCTTAACCAACTACAACCTAAAATTTTTCAATCTATTTAAATCTAGCGTGTTAAGCTTAGATTTTTTTTTTTTATTTAAAAAAAGCCTATATAGTCAGGTAGACTACATTAGCCTAGTCTACTTTCGGCTTATTTTAGCCTAACTTAATAGCAAATATATCAAGCGTAGACTTTTAAAAAGACTATATAGCTAGGTACATTAAGACATCACCTTAAAAAAAAATTGGCCTATTTATTTATTATTTTGATATATATTCTTCTGACCAAATGTATTCAGCCATATGGTTTAGTGAGGCCCAAGGATGGCCTGAGGCTCTCATGTCCTTTTACGAAGCAAGATATGACATCTAGTTAAGCTTCAGAGAACTCTTGGTTGTTGATGATTGGTCAGAGTAACTATTGGGGTCCTTCTGAATTTCCTATGGTGCATCAGTGGGAGGTTTATTTGAACAACAAGTTGTTTAGGACTATTTCCATTCATTGTTGGTGGGCCCTTGAGGCAAGCAATTATCATGATTCCAGCAAACAAGGGGTGGTGTGCAATTGCAAGAACTCCAATAATCAAGTCAGTGTTTGAGTCAGGTGGAGTATGCATAGAGGAATGTATGTTAATGAAGGTGAAGACCTTGTATTTGTAGTGAGCTAGAGGACACTATTGTGGAGCGTGTAGCCTTTACACTAAAGCGTAGGGCATGACTATGTAGATAGCATGTTGGTGAAATCTTGCTTTGTGTAGGTTTGTACATTGTTGCAATATTGTGGGTAAGGAGAACATGTGCACAAAATTTGCAAATGTAAGCCCGTTAAGCATGGCCATGAGGCAAGTTATAAGATGATTTAGCGGATCAAATTACTAGGCCATGTATTTGATCTCGAGTCTATGATACTTACGTACTTAAGAATTTGTAGTACTTACATATTTTATGATACTTACAACTTTACTTTGATGTACGGATATGAAGTCTTACACTCAACCTTAGTCATAAATTCATTTGTATCTAAATAGTTATATATTTAATAAATTAGAGTCATTAGATATAACTAACATCAATAAATTCATTTGTATCTAAATAGTTATATATTTAATAAATTAGAGTCATTAGATATAACTAACATCAATGGCTAAAATTAAGAATGTAACTTACACTAATGTAATATTATTTTCTCTCTCTCTATATATATATATATATATATATATATATATATAATATATATATATATATATATATATAGACACACACACAAGCACGTGCATGCACGCACCCGTACACACACGCACACGACACCATGCACACTAATTTGTCTATGTTAGAATTGAAGTGTACGTGATAACTGTCTTACATTAGTAGAATTGGATGAGAAAGTACTATATAACTAAAAAGACCAAAAACACACACACACACCATGCACACTAATTTGTCTATGCTAGAATTGAAGTGTATGTGATAACTATCTTACATTAAGTAGAATTGGATGAGAAAGAAATATATAACTAAAAAGACCAAAAACATGACAGCTTAGTTAGCCCATTTGTTCTGGATACCCACTTTAGACCCTGCAGTTGGGCTCTATGCTATTAAACTTATATCTAGAATCTTTTAGAAGACACTCCTTGAGGAGTCATAGATGCTCGATCAACACAAGGAGTCCCCTTCTCCTCATGCACCTGCTACCCCTGTGCAGAGATAGTTGGACATACGTCTTGTCACCTTGACAAGATAAGGCTAGTAAACAGCGAAAAGAACTTCTCTCTCAATCTTGGGCAGGGATTTTCTCTCTAAATACCCTCATCTCACATTGAGAGGGGGATCTCTGCTTCTCCATTTATGTTGTTACTCTGCACATTTGTAGAGCCACCTTAGCCATACACACATTCCCCCTTTCGCAATATATCTGCCGAGCACCATGGGAAGTTTCGCTAGGACTTTGGTCTTTATCAATACTACTATAAACACTCTTATGTCAACATACTTCGTCTTCTATGAGACACATCTATGTGCTCTCGCCAGTACACCATTAATAGTGTGATATTTGAGTATGGGCTCCCGTATGTGTCATAAAAGTCTCATTACACAGTAGATTTGGTCATGACAATATCGTGTATCTTGTGTCCTTTGTGATTATGTATTTATTTTATTTTTTGCATTAGTGAAATATTTAACTCATCTCTCAATACCCTCTCAATTAATTGGGATTTTTATTTTTTTTAAAAAGATTCATCAAGGAGTGCCCACATCCAGACGAAGGCCAACGACGTCAACTAGCCACAGAGATTGGGCTTGAGCCGAAACAAATAAAGTTTTGGTTTCAAAATAAGAGGACACAAATGAAGGTGAGCCATTTTCTTTAGTCTAATACTTCATTGAAACATAAATTATTTACATGCATTGATATATACTTAGCACTAATCATTTTACGTATATATGTATATTACCTTAAGAATCAAATCGAGCGAGCAGATAACACTTCTCTCCGGTCTGAGAATGAGAGACTCCATAGCGAAAACCTCATACTCAAAGAGGCAATGAAGAATATACATTGCAATTCTTGTGGGGGTCCACATATTCATGATCATGAAGAGCATGAACTTGTTATGCAAAAATTGAGGCTTGAAAATGCTCAGCTAAAAGATGAGGCTAGTGAACTCATTTGATATTGATTCTCTTCAAATTTTATATGAATAATATATTTGATTAATATTTTTTGACAAAAAACCTATAAGATGATTAATTTCAATTGCTATTTATTTATGAATTGGTTTTCAGCATGAGAAGCTGTGTAACCTTATTGGAAGGTACAAAGAGGAGCCACAACCTGAGTTGCAAGAGGCTCATTTTCCTTTCACGGGATCTTCAACTGATCCAGATCTTGGATGTTTGCTAAACCAACCGGTTGAATATGGAAGTTCATCTCATGATCAAAACCATGGTGCACCAATTATGGATGATGATATATTATTGCCCAACTCAACAATGGAATGTGCAGACATAGAAAAAGCGCTCATGTTAGAAGTTGCAACTGCTGCTATGGATGAGTTAGTTAAGCTTCTCCGTATCAACGAGCCCTTATGGGTTAGGTCTTCAACTCTTGATGGAAAATGCACTCTTCATCATGAAACATATGAAAGATTATTCCCTAGGACTAATCATCACTTCAGAGGTGCCAACGTGTTTGTTGAATCATCAAAAGATTCAGGAATTGTGAGCATTAGAGGGACGCAACTAGTTGATATGATTCTAGATTCGGTTAGCACTTAAAAAACTCCTTTTTTGTTTGTTAAATATTGCAACATTGATTACCTTTGTATTGAAGATATAGGTATGTACTTATAATCATAGGAGTATGACATAACTCATTTTTACAGGAAAAATTTGTTAACCTTTTCCCAACAATAGTTACAAAAGCAGACACAATCAAAGTATTTGAAAGTGGAATGTTGGGAAATCAAAGTGGAGCATTGCAATTGGTATATATATATTTTAATGCAAATTAACATTTCTTTACGTAAGCTTATTTGTTATAAACCCAATGGGTGTAGCTCAGTTGGTTCCTTGGCGCTGAGTTAGTGGGGTTGGACATGTGTTCTATTCCCGCTGAATGCATTCTTGGAGAGGGGGCTGAACCTTTAGCCATCACTGACCCCCGCACTCCGGATTAGTCCCATAGCCGACTCAAAGAGTCGAAGCTTGTGAGGATACCGGAAGAAACCAACTCGCCTCAAAGAGGTAATTAGGGTTGGGTAACTCAAAAAAAAAAAAAAAAAACTTATTTGTTATAATTTTAACAAGACTTTTATTGCAGATGCATGAAGAAATACACATCCTGTCACCTTTAGTGCGATCTCGCGAATTTCACTTCCTTCGGTATTGTCAACAAATTGGAGTTGGTATTTGGGTGATAGTGGATGTGTCTTTTGATTTATTTCGACAGGACACCCCGCTTTCTCGCTCTTGGAGACACCCCTCGGGATGCATGATTGAGGAAATGCCTAATGGGTGTTCCATGGTTAGTAATTACATATTTGTTAAATAGAGTACATGAATAAATCTTTACTCTATGTGATTCAAATGCTGGACATGTTATAGAGAAAGACCATGTATGCTAGAAAGCATGGTCAGTGCTAAGTTATATAGAAAACAAAGTGATTAGGTTTGATCTAGTCGTGAGAGTTTTAGATAGATTGTATTAAGTTATGTGTTCAATTCTCACTTGTATAAAAAAATGTTATATAGAAAACAAATTCACACTTTTTTTATTTATACGAAAATTGAAATAATTAGATTTCCAAATGATTTTTCATTTTAATTAACTATATTGGTCTGGGCTAATTATTTTTGGCTTATCCAATTTTATAAATCACACTTCTTTTTCTAATCTTTCTCACCATGAGACCTGTTCACTTCACATCACATAATCATGTTTTCCAACAGTAATTAAGTGAAGTTGGGGCAGGTCCATTTATTTGGTCTGGTTATTTTCATAGACTAGGTTCAAGTATTCATATTCCATATTTTTTATAGACTAACTCAACAAAAAGATATTGTTAATTATATGCTTTATGTTAGCTTACTTGGGTTGAACATGTGTAAAGATACAAAATCTTTAAGGTGGAAAACTCCGTTCAATCTAAGAAGTAAAAACCATGGACCAAGTCTAAGAAAAGCAGCCACTATAAAAATGATATTCCAGAAGGATGGATTATAAATATTCTCTCTTTCTAAAAGGATCTCTCTCACTCTTTCTAGGAGGATTTCTCTTGCTTGGTGCTTCAAGCCTTCTCTTTCTCCCCTATTTATAGATGGTTAGGAGGGCTCTCTTTCATGTTCTAGATTCTTCTCCATTTAATAAGGAAGATTTCAATGCAACCTTTCATTTTTATATGAAGTCTTTTCTTTTTCCCATATATAGAGACTTGAAAAGTCATTAACCTTTCATAGTCCCACGATGCATCTAATTAAGGATAAATAACTTCAACAAATCTTCCCATTTTCAAACTTAATTAGAAGGGATTACCACATCGACTCCTTTGCAACATTCTTCATCGAAACAACCTTCGTCATCATGTCAGACCGTTGAAATCGGTGGAAACTTTATCAACATGTAATCCTCTGTGTTGGGAACTTTACTAAGGAAAACTTAGATTGATGACATATTCACCACCAGAGAGAAAATATCTTCAAAATCAATGCCCTTCTTTTTGTTGTATCCTTTGACAACAAGTCAAGCCTTGTACCTTGGCCTTGAAGTGCTTTCGTCAATTTTGGGTGTATACACCCATTTATTTTTCAATGCGCGCCTTCCATTTGGCAGCTCGACCAGATCATAAGTGTGATTTGTATGCAATGACTGCATTTCCACCTACAAGGCTTTTATCCAAAAAAAAAAAAATTCATTTCCAATCACAGCTTCTTCATAACTTTGAAGGTCCCCGTATTCTATAATAATTATAAATTCATCAACAAGATATCTAATGGAGAAATGCTTGGTTCTAGTATATTTTTGCAAATCTGGTTGAGCTCGAGGCTCTATCTCGTTAGGCTCTCCTTGGATTGGTTCTATCTTTATCGTCTCAACAAGCTCCTTTGTCGGTGGTTCAGTATTCCCATCTCTGACTTCTTCATTGTTGTCTTATGATGACTCTCGCCCTAAATCATCACATTCCCTGGGGGGTAATACATGATTGGATTGGGTAATGAACCTTACCTTGGGCTTCTTAATGTCATCAAGAGTTTGATCTTCGAACAACACATCATCTTAACTCTTCACAATCTTCATTTTAATAGGATCCCGTAAGTGATAACTGAACTCATCTCTTGGTGAACCAAGGTAGATACACTTCTTGTTTTTCTGCATCAAGATTAGATAGTTCATCCTTATGAATGTGAACAAACGCTCGACAACCAAACACTTTTAAGTGATTGTATGACACCTTCTTTCATGTTCAAACTTGATCAGGAATTTATCCATCCAGAGAGCTTGAAGATGACAGGTTGATTAAGTCAACTACGGTCTTCACAACCTCTCCCTAAAATGACTTGGGTAATTTGGTATATTATAACATTCATAAGCACTTTCTCTTCAATGATTTGGTTCATCCTTTCAGCTACATCATTTAGTTATGGTGCCGTCTTTTCTATTTTGATACCTTGTGACTTCCAATATGTTGTGAATAGACCATGGTACTCACCACCGTCATTGCCTCACACATTCTTTAGCTTTCTATTTCATGCTTAGGAGAGACACCTACACTTTTCTAGAATGATTATTAATAAAGGTGATGAAATAGTATGCACTACTAAGAGATTTTTCTATCATGGAACAAACATCAATATGGATCAAGTCAAGAATATACATTATCCTTCTAGGTTGATTTAGTATCTAGAATGATACTCAATGCACCAGTGAGAACATAACTCTAGCACTTGATCTTTCATGTTAATTTCTTGGCAAGAATTTGTAACCCTTTTAGCTCACGTGACCGAGCCTTTTATACCATAACCCATGCTTGATCAAGCTTGGGCAACGTTGACCTCTCCTTTGTAGATTCTTGCTTGCATGACGTACAAGGTACCTTTTTTCTTACCTCAAGCAATGACCATACTCCTTTTGACGAGTTTCTATATACCTATTTTGTGATGATTTACTAATCCGACATCATTAAGTTTCCTAGTTAAGATGAGGTTGAGTCGCATGTTGTGAACATGTCTTTTCTCTTTAAGTACCAATTTGAAACCCAAGTATTAAAGTGACTTCATCAGTCTCAACGATTTTGCAAGTAACTTAGTTTTTTATCTTGAATATGATGATGTCACCGCCTCGGTAGGATGAAAAGAAATCTTCATGAGGAGTAACTTGAAAGGATATACTAATTAGGAAGTCATCTATCCACGAATAGTCATCATAGGCAATGCTAAGGTAATATTTCCCCCAATTAGGAAGATATCATCTTCTGGAGTTGTTTCAATTGTCATTGTGCTTTTCTCCTTCTTCTTTGGATCTATTTGGTCAGACTTGACATTGTTATTTTTCTCATCTCTTTTAAGAGTTCAACACTCAGATCTCTCATGACCTAGCTTCCAATAGTAAAAACAAGCAATCTCATATGCTAATATTGACTAACCTTGAGACTTTTGCTCCTACCTCAGTTCTCAGACTTCCCATAATTTTCTACATCGTTGGCCTATCATCCCTCATTTTTTTCTCCGGAAGTCTTCATTCAATAGGCTATCTATTAAGGAATCCATTATGAGATTCCTTTCCAAGGCTAATTTACTTAGAGTAACGATTATTGTGTCCCAACTATTGGGTAGAAAACTAAGGAGTAGAATGGCATGTGACTTGTTATAAATTTTTATCTCAATCTTTGTCAATTGATTCATGAGTCCCTGAAGGTGTTTAATGTTTAATCATGCTTTATCCATCCTTATACTCCAACTTCACCAACTATCGCACTATACAAGCTTTATTACGAGGTGTTTTCTTTTGGATCATATATTCTAGCTTCGTCTATAGTATATAAGCGTTGGTGTCTGTTGACATATGCTCAAACAAGCTTTTGTTGATGTATTTATGAATCATTGCAACCAATTTGTGATTCAAGAGTTCATATTCTTTATTGCTCTCTCCTTTTGGATTTTCCTCACTGAGGATCAGCTCATACAAATCCGAGCAGTAAAGGTGATCCTTCGTCATGGGGTCGTATCAAAGCTTGGCTAAACTCATCAAGTTGCCTCGACAACATGGATTTTGAAGGCTTACAAACCTGAACACCAACCACTATATTCAAATACTTAGTTCACACAAGCTAATAAATTATTGGCTCTGATACTATTGTTGGAGAAAAGTACATGTATAAAATATACATAAACAAATAAGAAAATAGAGAAAAAAAGATATAAAGACACAACTTTTAACGTGAAAAACTCTCTCAATGTAAGGAGTAAAAATTACAAGACTAAGTCCAAGAAAAACGTCTACTATGAAAATAGGATTATAAAGTGTATTTTTATCTGGTATAAAACTTACGGATTACTCTGAATTCTTAACCTAACAAAAGGATGAATTACAAATATTCTCTTTCTTTCTAAGAAGAACTACTTCTCTCTCTATCTCTATATCTCTCTCTATACACATATACATATATATATATATATATATATATATATATATATATAGGGAAAGGTTATAGTTACTACCTCTTATTGTTACTACTAAATCGTAACTGTTGATTTCTGTCAATCTAACGGTTATAATATATTAGAAATTAATAATTAATTAATAAGTATGACCCAATACATTATAACTGTTAGATTGATGGAAATCAACGGTTATAATTTAGTAGTAACAAGTAGTAACAATAAAAGGTAGTAATTATAACCTCTCCCATATATATATAGGGCAAAGTGTGTGTCATTTTAAAGGATGTAAAGTTGTGTCATTTTAAGAGAGAGAAAGAGATAGATAAAGGAAGAGAGAGAGTTGACAAAAAAAATAAAGGTGTGGGTCCCACCTCTTTGTGAGAGTGAAAGGATATAAGTTGTGTCATTTAAAAGGATAAACATTTTTTCCATATATATATATATATATATAGAGAGAGAGAGAGAGAAGGATCTCTCTTGCTAGGTGCTTCCGGCGTTCTCTTCCTTTCCTATTTATATATGACTTGGAGGGTACTCTTCCATGCTCCAGGTTTTTCTTCATTTAATAAGAAGGATTTCAATGCAACCTTTCATTTTTCCATGAAGCTTTTTATTTTTCCAATACATCGAAACTTGAAAAATCATTAACCTTTCATAGTCCAATAATGCATCTAATTAAGGGGAAATAACTCCAAAAAATATTGGACCTTTATAGAGAAAGACGATAAAGCATGGTCATTAAAAAGTTATAACAAATTTACACTTCTCTATATATATGAAAATTAAAATAGTTAGATTTCCAAATAATTTATCATTTTAACTAACTATAATGGTCATTTAGGCATAAGGCTAATTATTTTTGGTTTATCCAATCTTACAAATCACACTTCTTTCTCTAATCTCTTTCATCGTGAGACTAACTCACTTTAATCTCACTTCACTTCATTCAACAAATAGATATTTTTAATTATATGCTTTATGATAGGTCACTTGGGTTGAGCATGTAGAAGTGGATGATAGGATCCACACACACCGACTATACAGAGATATTGTTGGTACCAATATTGCATATGGAGCACACAGATGGATTATGGAACTTCAAAGGATGGGCGAGAGATTTGCTTTCTTTTATGCTGAAAACATGCATAATTATGAATCTGGAGGAGGTTACACTCTCATCTTTATTCTATATACCCCGATGCTTAATTCATTTATTTGTCTTATAATTCGTTATGTGCTTATATATGGCTAAGTTTATATTATATGTTTTCATTGTTCAGTGATCAATTCACTTGAAGGGAGGAAGAGTGTTATGAAGCTTTCTCACCGAATGGTTAAGCACTTTTGTGAAAGCTTGAACATGTCAGGCAAGCTTGACTTTCCACATTTAACTGTGGAGAATAATACTGGAGTTAGGGTTGCTGTTCACAAACTCACAGAATTAGGCCAACCAAATGGTTTGGCTGTTGCTGCTGCTACATCCCTCTGGCTTCCTCTCCATCATCACAAAGTTTTTGATTTCCTCACAGATGATAGAAAAAGAGCTCAGGTTCACAAAGCTATCTAAACACTCTTTTGTTTTATCGTAATGACTTTTATTTGTTACTTAAATTTTAACTATTAGAGATGTTGAAGAATCCAAGTGTGAATGGTTGAAGGTAGTCCCACATTGGTTGAAAAAGGACTAAATGAGCATCATATAAGTAGAAGTACCCATGAACCTATTATCTTAAGATTTTTAGGCTTCATTGTGGTGTTCAAAGCCCTCTTAATGTTGCTGATCACTTGGTCCATGGTAGAAGGTCTCCCCCGCCACAAGCTCTCCCTGCAGGCCCAACTACAAAGTGTCGTATATAGGATAATTTACTTTAAGGGACAAAATCCCACATCATGTATTACTTTTGTGTAATTTACTTTATTCAGTTATATATTAGTGACTCTGTTATGTATCTAACAGACGCGAATTAAATCATATAACCTTGCATTACATAATCATTAATATTCTCTTGCTATTTTCTTCAGTGGGACATTCTTTCCAATGGAAAACCAATGAATAAGGTTGCACAAATCACAAGTGGAATTTATCCTGGCAACTGTGTATCAATTATTCGGGTAAATTTATCAAATTTATATGTACTTTGAACTCATTTTAGTATTGTTTCTTCAAGTAAACTTGATTAATTAAGTTCAATTAATTTTTTTAATGTGGACCAGCCATTCATTCCTAATGAGAACAACATGTTGCTTCTTCAAGAAAGTTTTACAAATCCAATGGGATCATATTTTGTGTATGCTCCAATTGATGTAGCACAAATGAATAGGATCATAAAGGATGAAAGAGACTGTTCAGTATTCCCAATTCTTCCATCAGGTTTTGTTATCTCTCCAGATGGCAAACCAAATGCAATATTTAACAATGGAAATGTTGATGGATCAGGAGGCTCATTGCTGACAATGGCTTTTCAAGTACTGATTTGTGGTCCAGGTGGAAGCCTTCTATTTAATATGGAAAATGTGGCAAATGTCAACGCTCTCTTAACCTCCACAGTTCAGAAAATAAAGGAAGCTTTCAATTGCAACACTTTGGAGTAAAGTAATCATCATATCTTTTGGTTGTGCTGTTTTCCTATTATCTCTTGCTCAAGGACAAGAGATTTGGATTATTTCCCTTTGAATTGCAATAGTTTGGATAATATTTTGGTTATGCTATTTTCTTATTATCTCTTGCTTGAGAACAAGAGATTGGATTGTTTCCTTTAGATAATAAATTTGCTAGACATTTTATTTTAATTACTATGTTACTCTTGGATCCATTTTTATTCCCTATTTATGAATGATGAATATGACATTGATCCTTGTGGTGTCATTTGTTTCTTCATCTGAAGCTTGCCATTCATAATGTGTTATCTATTTTTATTTTATATTTTACTGATGTTTTTTGCATTGAGAAATGTTTATAAGCACATTTTGATGAACTTAAAAAGTGGGGTTTTTAACCCACATGAGTAGCTTAGTTGGCAAGTTAAGTGCCCAAGGGTTGCTTTGATCAGGGTTCAAACCTTGACCAAAATGGTTGACTGCTTGGAATAGAAAGTAAAACATATTAAATCGAAAGTCTAATTTTTAATTCAGTAACTAAAAAATAGTGAGTTATAAATTGAAATAGTTAAATGTGTTTGTTCTATTATAATTGAGGTAGAATTCTTTGACACCTCATTTGAGAGCCATTAGATAAAAAAAATCAACGACTCTGATTTGTAAGCATGTGACACCATTGATCTTTTTTGATCTAATGGCTATAATTGATATTAGATGGATTTACACCCTTGATCAATTTATGGAGACTTATTTAAAAAAAAAAGGTTTTGGCAGCACATTAATTTTTTAAAATTTTAAATTGAACTTCTTTTAATTAACATACTTTTTTTTCTTAATTTTTTAAATATTTTTGCTTCTGATACACTTTCGTTAAGTGATCAAGTAAATCTCTATTCTATAAACACCTCTTAGTCCAGCGGCGGACTTACGGTGTTGCATGTGTCTGCACATGCAGACACAAACATTTTAGAAAAAAAAATTTCAAAGGGATGGGTGATTTAGGTAAAGTAAAAAAAAAAAGATTTAAGAAGATTGAAAAGAAAAAAGTAAACATAAGCCCAACCATAGTAGTTAAAATCGGGATCTTCATAGTAGTTAAAATCGGAATCTCACCTAAAATCAGAAGGAGGATAAAAAATCGTAAAACGTAAAATCCTAACGTAAAAAAAATCGTAAAATCGTAAAAGTGTTTGGAATTTTGATGAAATCGTTTTGATTAAAAAAAATCGTAAAATCATAAAATCACAGATATAAATCGGGATTTTAACTAATATGGGCTTAACCCAACCAACCCCTATAATTAAAAGCTTAAACCCTATACATTTTTTGGTCTGCCAGTGTCTTAGTCCATGACATACATAGAATTATTGGATAACTTTTGTGGCAAACGTCAAAGATAAAATAATCGGAAGAACTATTTTGAAAAGAAATTTTTTGATTTTTACATTAACAAAAGAAATAATTTTATTTTTAGTAACCAAAATTTTTATATTAGATTAATTAGCAACCACTACTAGAAAAGTCATTATTTTCGACAGAATTTTTCGACGAAAAAAATTCCGTGGAAATTACTGACGAAATTTTCAACTGAATTCGTCTATCGTTGAATTTTTTGACGAAAAAAAGATTCTGTCAAAAACTTTCGACGGAAAATGGATTCTGTCGAAGATATTCGACGGAAAATGAATTCCGTCGAAAACGGATGAATAAAAGAAATTGTTTTTGTGAAGGTTTTCGACGGAACATGAAATTGGAATTCTTTTTTGTTTTCAATATTTTTGTTTTCCTTTTATTAAAAACACCCTATTGGTACACTAACCAATTCTTGTTAATTTATCTATTTTTAGAAGTTAACTAGCAGTATCTTGTTCACAGTATCACAAAAATATTAAAGAATTGGTATTGCAAAATTTGAAACATATGGAATGATTTACACTTCTCTGGAGTGTAGACTATGATCCATGACTCAAATAATGGCACTTGCCTCTATCAAAAACCAAATTTTCAATAAATCCATTTAGAGTGTGGTCTTTTTTAAGATCAAACGAAGATTTTTAATACCTGACGCTTCTATTTCCTGCTCGTGTGCGTCCAAACAATGATTATCCATAGTTGCTATCCCTCTTTGCCTTTTGTTTTGCTGGGCATTTCAATTTTAGTTGCATGTTTGTAGTCTTTGATAAATGAATTGTTTCCTCTCCAACTGTGTACACACTATTCAAACAAGGAAGAATACTATTATCGGAATTGAGTATAGAAATGACCCCATCATTAGATGGCTAGATGCATACTTATTGTGATATTGCATTTTTAGAAATGATATACTCATTGTGATTTTGCATATTTTTGAATCCCTGTTGGTTATTGTTTATAGCCTTATCCTATTATTCCAAACGAGGATTGTCTTGATAAAAGAAAATACTTTTTTTGTTTGTGGTAATTTGATAAAAGTAAATTCTGATTAAGAGCTGCTAAATCAATATAATCATTCGTAGGTTGGTTCATACTAATAATTACTAAACATGCTTAATTTCTTTCTGCCGTTTGCTACATAGAGGACTATTCAACTTTGTGATTGGCTGCACGTTCATGTTTTCTCCTTTGCTATACTGAAACTTGTTATTGTGTTTATCTCTTTCTTAAAAAATTTAATTTAAAACATGATCTTTTATTAATCAGGCACTTCCCCCACCGTGGCCAGTTCCAAATTGGAAGATGATGCTCTTAATAAAGAAGATGTTTAGAGACAGAGAAAAGGACCTAGGAGGGTTCAAGTCAAGAGAGCCTTGATAGGGAGGAATATTTCAAGTTCATCCACTTAAAATCATTATTCATGTGTATGAAGAAGAGATTTTTTATCCTAAGTCTGCAAAACTTATCACTCTTAGGTTGGAGTACAATATATATTTATTGTACACCGCTCGATAGTTGTGGAAGCCATTTTTAATACTTAGCATAATATATGATATGGACTTTTGTGCATTTAATGTATTGATTGAGGAGATTTGATATTGATATGTTGTTTACTTTGATTATATTTTTTTATCATGTGTGGCACGTAAAATTGGTATTAATTTTTTAGAGATAAATTAAAAAAAATTCAAAAATTAAAAAAAAATTCTAAAATTCAAAAAAAAATTCAAAAAATTTTCGACAGAAATTCATTGATTTTCCGTCGAAAACTTTGGACGGAATCCATTTTGCGTCGAAAACCATTACAATAATTTTCGACGGAATTCTATTGATTTTTCGTTGAAAATTTTCGACAGAATTTGTTTTCTATCAAAAATCTATATATCACTTTTCAAGGGAAATTCATTGATTTTCCGTCGAAAAATTTCCACGGAATTCATTTTCTGTTGAAAAGCATCACAACAATTTTCGACGGAATACCATTGATTTTTCGTCGAAATTTTTTGACGAAAATAAATTTCGTCAAAAAATTTCGACGGAATCTCTAATTCCGTCGAAAAAGTTGTTAGCCACGAAGAGAAATTCGACGGTCTGAATTCCATCGAAAACTTCATTTTCGACGGAATTTTTATCATTTTGGGCAGAATTTTTCCGTCGAAAAAATAAACTTTTCTAGTAGTGAACTTTTTATACAAATAAAATAGAGATAAAATTGATAAGTTAGTTCAATTATTAATAGTGTTAAAATTGGATTTAGATGGAAAAATCATAGGGGAATAATAGATAAAAAAAAAAATGAGGATATAAGTGATGAAAAAGTAAACCACATGAAAATTCATGAACATTTCCCTATAACTCATCCCTTTTCTATAGTTTCCCTCAAAGAATTTTGGTTTCTCAAGACCGATATTTTAATAAGTAAAAATTACAAAAACTAAAACTCAAATAAATAAAAATTACAAAAGTTAATACCTTAACAGCAAAGACCAGAGATCCTATATGGGTGAAAACTAAAAAAAAAATCTCATTTAAATCGAACAAAAATTTGGTCATCACGAGTGTGCTGCATAAATTAAAATTTCTTTTTTTCATAAAAATTAAAAAGATGACTTTATTCCAAAATTAGTAAATTTTCTTAATTTATACCATGACTTGCGTTCATTGCAAAGTAAGCATAGTATTCTATTTTGATGTAGGACATGTTGATTTCTCATGTAAAAGCAATGTTTCTTTAACAAATAACGCCTGAAACTAAAAAAAATTATAATAGAAATACATATCATAGATCGAATAGGTACAAAGTTATTATATTTTTTATTATACTCAGTCAGATTATTTTATTAAACACATTTAAATTACTCTACTTTTCCCAGATCAGGAAATTTATAAACAAAATTATTACAGCCTAATTGCAAAATAATAAGAAAATAAAAAAAAAAGTGACAAAATTTGGACCTGTCAACTGTCATAACAAAGTTAATGAATAAATACCCAATAGGTGCAGCTCAGTTGGTAATTTGGCGCTGAGTTAGTGGGGTTGGATATGTGTTCGATTCCCGCTGAATACATTCTTGGGGAGGGGGCTGAACCTTTAGCCATCACTGTTCCCCCGCACTCCGGATTAGTCCCATAGCCGGCTCAAAGAGTCGAAGCTCGTGGGGATACCGGAGGGAGCCAACTCGTCTCAAAGAGATAATTAGGGTTGGGTAACTCCAAAAAAAAAGTTAATGAATAAATTTGATTATGAATCACATATTACCTTTATCAATTGTTTGAATAGTTAACAAAAAATAATCGGCTATTTCCAAAAAATAAAAAAAATAGTCAGGCAAAAGGAAAGTAAATGAAAAAGGGGAATATATAAGCCCTTAATGTTTCTACGACGAAGATAGATAAGTTATTTATATTCACTCCCAAAAAGATATTGTTTTGGGTTGAAAAATTAAAAAATTATAATGAGAAAGACTATTATAACTCTGAAATAAATTATAATTACAAAAATACCTTGATTTCCGTCCCAAAATGACGTCATTTTTGGCTCAATGTAGATAATTTATCTACATTGACGGCAGAAAAAATGAACCCATATAAACTATGTTTTATTAGTATTATGCATTTTTTATATGAATAAAGAAATCAATTATTAAGATAAATTAAATAATTGAATTTGAAAATATATAAATAATTAAGTGTAGTCAGTAGAAGGTTTGAATTATCTTCTTTTTTTTAAATCTATTTGACTTATTGAAAAGATAAATTAATGAAGGGCACAATTAAAGTTATACAAAATTAAGAGATAATTAGATCGATGAGACAAAAAAAAGGGTGTAGCCTCCTCTAATTATTTAATTGTATAAGAAATTATATCTATACTTGTGTGGAAGCCAGCATAATCTAAAATACACGAAACTGACTACAAGAAAATACACGAAACTGACGTAAACAAGAAAAAGATGCACACAAGTTAATTTTACTCAACATAATGTTTTCTCCGTATCCCATTCGACAGGAATGGTAAAAAATTTACATTATTCTCTTCTTCTTTTTTTGGAGAATAAATTTACATTATCACTTGTTTTAGATAATAAAATAATAAAAATATATATTCCGATCCAACACACTTTTTATTTTTATTTTTTTCACGCAAGTAAAATGGGATAGGTTATTCTACTTATCATTTTTTCTGCTTACTTTTGTCTACCACCCTCCAACACTGTTGAATCAGAATTTCAAGAAGAGAGATAAAGATAAATATTAGTTAAGATTTTAATCTAACGGTATTGGAGAGTGGTAGGTAAAAGTAGACAGCAGAAAAAAATAGTAGGTAAAATAACCTACCCAAGTAAAATATAAAAATAATATAAAAAATTTGATATGCAAATATTTTTTTTTTTTACCCTTTTAATGCTTAGGACTTCATTCACATTACCGCCACCACCTTAATTTTCCTGTCTCTACAAATAAGTGGCAAACCGAAAGATACAAAACTAAAAACAATGCATTCTCCTCTCTCTCTTTTTTTTGGGGATAGGTTATTCTGCATACTCTCATTTTGTCTACCTTTGCCTATCCATTTTATTACTGTTCGATTACAATCTAATCCAACGGTTTATATTTGCGAAATAAAATAAACTTTTTTTCCCCTTTTTTTTTTCCTCACTTCCTCCCACACATTTTCTCTCTCCTTCCCTTTCTCACTTCCTCTGCACCATCCCTATTTTATTTTTTCCTTCATCACCGGTTATTGTTATACGAAACAATTTTGCGAAATAAATCCCATAATGCTTGTGAAGAGGCATTTTACATTTGATGATTTATTCCGCAAAATTGTTTAGTATAACAATCACCAGCGATGAAGGAAAAAAAAAATAGGGATGGTGTAGAGGAAGTGAGAAAGGGGAGGAGAGAGAAAAGGTGTGGGAGGAAGTGAGGAGAAAAAAAAAAAGGGAAAAAAAAGTTTATTTTATTTTGCAAATATGGACTGTGGGATTATATTGTAATCGACCAATAATGAAAGGGGTAGACAAAGATAGGCAAAATGAGAGTAGGCAGAATAAACTACCCTTTTTTGTTACAAATAATAGAGAGGGTTATATTTACAAAATTTTTGTTTATAAACTGCATACGTATTCTGAAGAGTACACTTACTTAGGAATATATTCCCTGAAATACCTAGTGTAGTTTTTAAGAATTTAGAAATAAAAAATTTATAAATATAAGATTTCCCTAAACAATAATACATCCCTTTACTTCATATTTAAGAGACAAATACCACGTTCACTTCAGAAGTGATAGAAGCAAACCTAAAGCTTTATTATATAGAATCAAAAGTGACTTCAACTAATTTAATTTCTTAAGTAACCATGTGAAAAGGTATTGTTAATGAGAAGAAAAGAAGACACAATACAAAAGATCCGGAATCCTAGCCATGTGCATAGTTCTTCATCAAGTCTTCAAAGATTATCTTCATGCCTATAAAAGGCAATGCTCTATGCATGATATTCTCACTCAAACGAAGAACTAACAGCTACTTGAATTTGGTTTACCTTTAATGGCTCAAATAATGGTTAAAGTTTTGGTACCAATCCTGCTGGTTCTAGTGGCACGTGTAGTGGCTACTCCTCCTGGAATAGCCAAAAATCCTAGTCAAGCAAGTTGCCAAATAAAGAAGTACAAACATTGCTATAATTTGGTGCATGTATGCCCCAAGTTTTGCCCTGATGAATGTACAGTGGAATGTGTATCTTGTAAACCTATTTGTGTTGGAGGTGGAAACCCAACACCAGATTTCCCTCCAACCCCTTCTACACCTGAGAATCCAACACCAGAATTTCCTCCTATACCTTCTACACCTGAGAATCCCCCACCTACTCCTTCTACACCTGATCAGAATCCACCACCTTCTCCTTCTGAGAATTCTCCTCCTCCTCATTCTACTCCTTCACCATCACCTCCTCCTCCTTCTACTCCTTCACCATCACCATCTCCTATCCCTTCTACACCTGAACAAAATTCACCTCCTCCTCCTTCAATTCCTTCACCATCACCTCCTATCCCTTCTACACCTGAGAATCCACCTCCTCCTCCTTCAATTCCTTCGCCATCACCTTCAATCCCTTCTACACCTGAGAATCCACCTCCATCTCCTTCTACTCCTTCACCATCACTACCTACCCCTTCAACACCAGAGAACTCACCACCTACTCCTTCACCATCTGAGAATCCACCACCAACACCTTCTACTCCTCCGTCATCACCTACACCTGCAAATCCGCCATCTTCTCCCTCACCATCAACACCTTCTGGCAGCACAGGTCAATCTTCCTCACCAAAGACAGCTAAATGCAGGAACAAGAACTACCCAAAGTGTTACAATACAAAACATGTTTGTCCCAACGCCTGCCCTGGTGGGTGTGAGGTTGATTGCCACACTTGCAAACCAGTTTGCAGTAAGTCTTTTCCTAATATACCATTCTCTATATTAAACTCTTATATCAAACATTCCTAACTAATTAATATATATATAGAAGAAGGATCATTTCTCTCCAATATAAAATTAATATAAGATTAAAAAGTCTTATTCTCCATCTCATCTAAGTACTGATGATTTTAGTACATGTGACTGTTGTAATTTTTTATTTGAGATTAGTAATTAGTGGATATAACTTAATAAATTATAATTATTAGAAATACGAAAATCAACAGCTGAAATGAGAAGTAATTTTAGACGGAAGTAGAAAGATCCTTCCATATATATATAGATGCACTTAATTAACCGATTTTATATTGAATGTACCTATATGACTCGCAGGTTGTGACAGACCAGGAGCTGTTTGCCAAGACCCTCGTTTCATTGGTGGTGATGGAATCACTTTTTATTTCCATGGCAAGAAAGAGAGCAACTTTTGCCTTGTATCTGACCCCAACCTTCACATAAATGCCCACTTCATTGGTAGAAGAAACGAGAACATGAAGAGGGACTTCACATGGGTCCAATCCATTGCTATTCTATTTGACAATCACCAAGTCTTCGTTGGGGCAGAAAAAACAGCCATATGGGAAGAATCCATAGACCGTCTTGCCCTCACCTTTGACGGTGAATCCATTACTCTCGATGAATCAGAAGGTGCCACGTGGAAATCCTCCAATGTCCCTGGTGTCTCCATTGTTAGGGCTACTACCACAAACAGTGTCATTGTTGAAGTTGAAGGGAGATTAAGGATAACAGCTAATGTTGTCCCCATAACTGAAGAAGACTCAAGGATTCACAAATATGGCATTACCAATGAGGATTGTTTTGCTCACCTTGATTTGGGGTTCAAGTTCTTCTCTTTGAGCAATGAAGTGAGTGGTGTGTTGGGTCAAACATATAAACCTAACTATGTGAGCGGAGTGAATATTGGAGCAAAAATGCCTATAATGGGAGGTGGAAAAGAGTTTGAAACTACAAGCTTGTTCAACCCAGATTGTTCTGTTGCTCGATTTGTTGGTAACAATGGATCTAACAATGAAGTTGCGATGGATGAGGGTTTGGATCTTCCAAGCTTGAGCTGCGCAAGTGGAATCGATGGACAAGGAGTTGTCTGCAGGAGATAGATTCCTTGTTTGACAAGGAACAGATCAGTGCATCATGTGGTTGTGATCATTCAATCAGAGTTTCTTTTTTCTTTTTTTAATTTCTGATAATAATTTACCAAATCATCAAATAATTAACTTGGATGATTGTGTAATGGCCTCAAACTATGTATCAACGATTATATTAAGTGAAATAACATGAAATTATATTTACATTGTTAATTTTAATTATTACCTAATCATCTGGGATAGAAACCTCTTTAAGTTGAGACATGGATCATATTTTACATACATTTCTGTACAAAAGTATGCTGAATTATATGAAAATAAATAAATTGGAATAATTACAAATAATAAAATACGAGAAACTTACACATTCCAACTTTCTGTAAAAATATATGTTAGATATATATAAAATTATTAAAAAGGCTTCATTTAACTGTTTAAGTTTTTGGGTTGAATTGATTTTTTACATAATATGAGACCCTCGGTGTCCCGGATTCGATTCTCGCCCCCCATTTTTTTGTGAAATTTCTTAGCACAGTGTGTCTGATACATCATCCACCTTTTAAGTCCAAGGGACTCTCTTGTAAGAGAGCGTGTTAGAGATATATAAAATTATTATAGAGACTTCACTTAACAGCTTAAGCTTACTTTTGGATTGAATTGATTTTTTACCGTGTAAAAATAATTTAGAGATATTAATACGCAAAATATAACTCTTTTACTACTACAACAATTTGGAAATACAAATTGTTAGCACGTATCCATTAACACAAAAAGAACCTCTTATAGCACCAAATTGTAAATTAATCAAATGATAGATCATAGATCTTAACAACAAAGGAAATACAAAAGACGAACAAATACTGAAGCACAGTAATGGAAAGGGTATGAAAACAACATAGTACAACGTACAGACACAGCAAAAAGCATAATCAAAAGCCAGTAATTAACCAAATACTATCTCATGATTCTTGTCTAGAATTTGGACTGCAGATAATTCACGGTATTGCTATCCAATTGAAAAGCCTTCACGAGAACATCACTAGATATTTCAGGAGTAGACCCGAACACAGCATTAGCAATGGTGATAACTCCAGGGTTCTGGCTGCCAAAAGCTACAAGAGCAACAGCATTACCATAACCTACATTTCTTTGATAGTGGATGAGTCCTATGGGAAACACAAACACATCACCCTTTTGTAGAACTTTCCTAATGTGACGGTTTTCTGGGTTGGAAGTGATGAATCCAACTTCTAAGGTGCCATCAAGAACAGTCAAGATTTCAGAGCCACGAGGGTGCGCGTGAGGAGGGTTAACGCCCCATGGTGCAAAGTCAATGCGAGCAATGGCGACGCCAAGAGTGTTCAATCCTGGTAGCTGAGTTGCAAAAACTGGTGTCACTTTAGTCCCAACAGTGTTTGAAGTGTTGCCAACTATGTCTATTCCACTAAAGAAGAAGTCATTTGCTTCAACAAGTTTAGGATCCTTGCATACCAAACCATTCACTAACACTGCCATAATTAATCAAGGAAAAAAAGTGTTAGAATCTTGTAGTTCGTATATAACCTTTGAAAAGAGCACACAATTCAATTAAAGTAACTAAACAGAACTATCAGTTTAGTTCATGACCAAACTTTTATGAATTTCAAGTCAATCAATAGTCGCATTTATATAAAAAAAATATCCACTTCAATATGCTTCTTTGGTAATAAAGGGCAAACTCCGGTGCACAAGACTCCCCGACTTATCAGGATAGGGATGAGGGTAGATTGTATGCAACATTATCCTTACATTTGTTTAAAAAGGCTATTTACCCGACTCGACGAACTCGTGACCTTTCGATTGTAAAAAATAACATTACCATTAGGGATGTGCATGGGTCGAACTGAACCGAATTAGTTTAAATGGTTTGGTTTGGTTTGGTTCAAAACCAGTTCGGTTCGGAAGTGGTTCGGTTCAGTTGGAAACGGTTCGGAACCAGTTCGGGTCGACCCTATTTTGAAAAGAAAAAAATTAAAAATTAAAAAAATAAAATTATAAAAATCAATTTGATTGGGTTTGAAAACGGTTCGGTTCAGTTCAAAATGGTTTGATTCTTAAACTGGTTCTAAAAACCGGTTCGGTTCATGAACTGGTTCTTTAAAAACCGATTCGGTTCATTAACTAGTTTTTAAAAAACCGGTTATTTTAAGGGCAGTTTATGGTTCGGTTCAGTTTTTTGGTTATTTTGTACCCCCTACTTACCATTGCTTCAAGACTTGCACTCAAAATTTAGATTTTAGAATAAAATGCACAAATAACTGTCTTGTACGTGCATGCATGTTTCTACTATACCTTGGCCTTTTGGGTCTGCCACACAGAAATCTAGGAGAGCACTAGGATCAGCTGCTAAGACAGCTGAAAGTGAAAGAGCTAAAACTGCCACTAACAATGAGAGATTAGCCATTTGACAAGAACACAAAAGCACTAGAAGAGTTTGTGATATGAATTGTATGTAAGAGCCCAGTGAGTTTTGAAGTATTGGTGGATGAATATGGCATTGCATTAAGGCCTATTTATAAAAAACCAATCTACATGCATGCCGCCCTAATTATTAAGAAATGAAACGGTCATCTTTTGAAGTGGTATGTATAACATAAGTAATGGGTTTTGCTCTCATGCATGCCTGGCGTGTATAGATTGGAATCGGCCAACAGAGTTGCCGCCATTTGGCTAGTCATTCTTAATTGATTAATTTAGCTGAGACAGTCAATTCTTCCATTTGTCAAGAACATTAGAAAAAAATAATGTGAGTGAATTATAAAATAAAGGTGGTTTGGACTCGGCATGGATGACAACGGTATGTATTTTGGATTGGAGCGATTATACACATTCAAGGGGATACATTACAGAACATAGATGTATGGTTTTTTTTTTTATTCTTTTTTGGGTGAACTAGATGTATGATTTTTAAACAAAGTTAGTACAAAAGCTTAAGTTATCACGAATGTGTAATAACCATTCATAATTAGAAAAAACAAATGATAATAAACAAACTACGCATCAAAACCCTTTTACTTTTTCTCCTTTCCCCAGACTTTATACGAAAGCAAATTCATAACGTTTAATATTTTTCGTGATTTTACAAGAGCTTGCTGGGCTCAACTGCATGAGTTTATTTGAATAAAAACGGCAACTCCAACAATTTCTTTGTCCCCAAGCCGCTTAATTTCCCGGTTGTTTCTACTTTATTAAATGTGTAATTATATATAAGTTTTTTATCCGGGTGGGATTATTAAAATAGCTACTTAAACTTGCATAAGAGGCCTTTTCAATCTTATTAAAATCAACCGAGTCATTCATCTGCTCGAGATACTGAATTACTGGGTTATTGATTCATCGTATAACTCGATGAGTATACGTAAAATCTATAATTTATATTAAAAAAATTATAAGTACATACTCGAATAGCTGAAAAAATAATAAATTTTAAATATTTTAATATAAATAATAATCAATTATACATTATTGTCCAATAAAGGATCAAACAAACATATAATGCTTGTGATATTGGTGTTTCAGGTTCAGTAAATGACATCTCTAACTATAAATCAAATCAAAATTCTATCCATAATGCATAACTAAGATAATATTAGTATTATAGGTACATAACATATGTAAGTCAATAAGCAACAGATCAATCAAATGTGTCAATTACGATTATTATTATTATTATTTTGGAATTTTTTTTAAAAAAAATAAACACCGGCTCACTAGTTTTCACCAAAACTGGCCGAGTCCCATCGGATCTAATGCATGGCCAATTCGCTACTTCACTCAAACCGGTTATATGACTGATTCACCGGATCGTCGACCCGGTTGGGCCGGTCCGGGTTTATTAACAAAAATTTTTCTCCTGCTTCATTTCAATAAAATCAAAATAAAGGAATTTCTCACTCTAACCAGGTTTTAGGATGTTAGATTAAGAAAAAAAACCAAAAAGCTAAAAAAAATTAAAATCCTGTTTTTTTTTAAATTAAAATATTTGGCTTCCAAAAAAAAATAAAAGTTAAAAGATAAATATTTTTCTCAAAATTTAAATTTGCCTCGATCAAAAAAAAAAATTGCCTCGATCTCAACTTGAACCAACGATGCCCATGTTGTCGCCACTACTCAGTAATTTTATACACAAAAGAGTTTTTTTTTATTATTAAAAGTATTTTTTAGGTATATATAGCATCTAAATACAAAATTACTTTATGTTTTTAAAAAAAAAAAATGCTTAAATTTTTTTCGAAATTCTATCTAAACGAGGCCTAACACGTGTTTAGTTATATTTTCATGAATTTTAGATTTAATTTCGATAGCTTTCAACTTTTATTTTGACAAAACAATTTCTTATATAGCTGGAGTTTCCGAGATTTCCTATAACCACGACAGAACCAAAACACAAAAGCCCACCAAATTCTCAAACCTACTTCCGAGACAACGGAAAATAGCTTCAATGAATTGGGCTTATACTATGGGAGTACTTAAATGTCTGTTGGGAAGACAGTATTGGAACATCTCGTTTTCGGCCATCAAAACTCTCTCAACTTGATAAATAATAACTAACCAAATCTGAGTTTTTCTTTTTTCTTTTCTTTTTTCTTTTTGGTAAAACCCATTTTGAGTTTTATCTACACATGCAAATGTTTATTCGTAATGTTTATCTATATTGAGCTCAAAATGACGTCGTTTTGATGCAGAAATCAAGATATTTTTATAATTATAATTTATTTCAAAATTATAATAATTTTTTTTATTATAATTTTTTTTAACCCAAAACGACGTCATTTTGAGAACGAATGTAGATAACTTATCTATATTTAATATAGAAACGTTAAAGCCATAAAAAAATTACTAGTATCTTAAAACAAAGATCAAAGTGAAGTTGGTCCCCATTTCAAAACATGGATGATATTTATCGTGTTAGACATCAACCAAAACAATAACAATAATAGTTGAACTTCAAGGCGAGATCAAGTAGACTAGCTTCGGTTTCAAAGGTAACAACATGCGAATTCAAAGAAAAAAGGGGGGAGGGGGAGCAAAAATATTATCTGGTTTAATTAAAAGGCAATTAAGTATATTCAACATGTAGAAAGATAGAAGGCAAAAAGGTAAAGAAAAAAGAGATCTTCTGACTTCGATGTATATAATTATTTAACCATTACAATCATCCAAGACTTATCTCAAGAACAGAAGAATTGTCAACAAAACCCAGTTTATACACTGACAACAATCAATCAATACATAAGCATACACATTAACGAGTCAATCTAATTTGACTGCTCCACAATTTAAAATTATACCACTTGCTGAAATCCAAACATATTGATTTTTTTTTAAACAATTTTGACAAATCGCTGAGATGCCCTTAAGCAGCAAGCTCCTCTTCTTCCTCCTCATACTCTTCCTCGTCAGCAGTAGCATCCTGGTATTGCTGGTACTCGGCAACCAGATCATTCATGTTACTCTCAGCCTCAGTGAATTCCATTTCGTCCATTCCCTCACCAGTGTACCAGTGCAAGAAAGCCTTGCGCCTGAACATAGCTGTGAACTGCTCACTAACCCTCCTGAACATCTCCTGGATTGAAGTTGAATTACCAATGAAAGTGGATGCCATCTTAAGACCCTTAGGTGGGATATCACACACGCTGGACTTGACATTATTAGGTATCCACTCAACAAAGTATGAAGAGTTCTTGTTTTGCACATTGATCATCTGCTCATCTACCTCCTTCGTGCTCATCTTACCGCGGAACATAGCTGAAGCAGTCAAATAACGACCATGACGTGGATCTGCAGCACACATCATATTCTTGGCATCCCACATCTGCTGAGTCAATTCAGGCACGGTCAATGCACGGTACTGCTGGGATCCTCTTGATGTTAAGGGTGCAAACCCAACCATAAAGAAATGGAGCCGCGGGAATGGGATAAGATTGACAGCCAGCTTACGAAGATCAGAGTTCAGCTGTCCAGGGAAACGTAGACAACAAGTAACTCCACTCATGGTGGCAGAAATGAGGTGGTTAAGGTCACCAACTGCAATAAAAAGAAGAAAAGAAATTCAAAAATTGAACTTCCAACTAAACCGAGAATAAAGTAAATTAAAATCCATTTAAAGAAAGCGACTGCAAACCAAATTGATGGGAGAAGTTCAACAGCAATAAACACCAGTTCTGAGTAAGATACAAGACCTAAACCCACCTGAATCCTCCCACTGTCCCACCAATATAATGATTTTTAATCCTAATTTTCAAATTGAAAATTGAAAGAAAAACCAGATCATTATCTCAATCATTACTTAATATTAACTATTTCCGTAGACGACTACCCCAGAATAGCCACAGATAATCATGATAAAAACAACAGCAAAAAAAAAAAAAAAAAGGCAACCTAGTATAAAGCACTCACTTAGATCCACTGTGAATATATAGTAGGGCATTGCAAGAGGTAAGAGGCTGATTACAGGAATAAAAATCTCCATGTCATATTGCAACAACACTAACACAAATTCATATCAACAGCAACAAAAACAAAAGTGGCAAACGACTACAATAGAATAGTCACAGATAGTCATAATAAAAAAAAAAACAGCAAAAAAAAGAAGACAACATAATTTTAATAGGGAGCCTTACCTTGTGTGGCAATGCAAAAGCTCTTCTTAGTAATAATAACAACGGCAACAAAAATCATCAATAGTAACAATAATAAGCTGCACTAAATATATTAAAATTCAGAAACTTACAAGTTGGTGTAGCAAGCTTCAAAGTGCGGAAGCAAATATCATAAAGAGCCTCATTGTCCAAGACCATGCATTCATCAGCATTTTCAACAAGCTGGTGCACAGAAAGTGTGGCATTGTATGGTTCCACAACAGTGTCAGATACCTTAGGGGAAGGAAACACAGAAAACGTCAACATCATACGATCTGGATACTCTTCCCGAATCTTCGAGATGAGAAGTGTTCCCATCCCCGAACCAGTCCCACCCCCCAAGGAATGGCACACTTGAAATCCTGTAATATTAACAAAACAACCAAAATTACGATTCTAGCATTGCGAATGAAATTGAAAAATCAATTCGAGCATAAAAAAAAAATCGAAAACCTAAAAATGGAGAAGGAAATGAGATTACCTTGCAAGCAATCACAATTCTCGGCCTCCTTCCTAACAACGTCGAGGACGGAATCGATGAGTTCGGCGCCTTCGGTGTAATGGCCTTTGGCCCAGTTGTTTCCGGCGCCGGACTGGCCGAAGACGAAGTTGTCAGGGCGGAAGATCTGGCCGAAGGGACCGGATCTGACGGAGTCCATCGTGCCGGGCTCCAGATCCATGAGGACGGCGCGTGGAACGTACCTTCCGCCGCTGGCCTCGTTGTAATACACATTGATGCGTTCAAGCTGGAGTTCTGAATCTCCACTGTACTTCCCTGTGTGGTCGATCCCGTGCTCGTCGCAGATCACCTCCCAGAATTTGGCACCGATCTGGTTGCCGCACTGGCCACCCTGGATGTGAAGGATTTCTCTCATTTTCCCGGAAACGATGAGAAACAACGAGAATGTGAAGGAAAATAGGGTTTTGTTTTGTTTTGTTTTGTTTGTGATGAAATGAGAATTGAGAAAAAGGGAGGGATATTGTTGAAAAGGTGAGTGAGTTGATGGTGGGGAGAATTTGAAGGCTGGTCTTCTTCGTGTAATTATGCGTTGGTCTTGAGGGCAGTTTTGGAAGGTAATTGAATTCTTTTTCTTTCTTTTTTCTGTTTAATTTTTATTTTTAAATGATCTGATGTTGAGTTGCGATGTGTTAGATGATATTGTTCTGGAACCGCTTCATTCTCGCTCTCCCAATCCCACATTAGCACTCTTCCCTTTTATTTCAGGTTGAATAGAGGTTAATATATTTTTTTATTTATATAATCTGAATTTATTTTATTTAATAAATCATCAAACTTAATGGTACTTGAATTTAATAAAACATAAAATATGAGCAAAAGCTATTTGATTAAAATTTAAGTACTAAATTCAAAAGCTATTAGCAAAAACGTAAAAGCACTTGAACTAAAGAGAGTGAATCCTTACGTGTTAATTAATATGATCGTGTCATGTGAACAAATTATAATAGGATGGATCAACGGTAATAATGGAAAAGATAAAAATAATATAAAGATAAAAATTTACAAAATTATCACTATTAATTTAATTATTAATAATCAAATCTTCTCAAATAACATAATTATGTTAAATAACATATGATAATTTATTTTCAAAATATTTAAATTACGTGGGCCGGATTGTCGGGTCAGGCCCAACCAAAACTGCTGCTAGTAATTGTATCCACTTATGTGTTCGGTGGGATTTCCCATGTGTATCTTTCTGATGGTTACAGAGGCTCGTCCTCTTTGACTTCGTCTTCAACTTCATAAATAGCCAAAGCCAAAAGCAGATCCTATACCAATTTATCTTTGCTTTCTTTTTTATTTTTTATTTTTTTTTCCTTTCTTCGTGGTTCACAATTTCTTATAAATTTCATGCTAGACGTTTAAATGCTGCCATAGAACAGCACCGAACAGATTCCTAGACGGGACCTAAGGTGGTGTTTGGTTGATGGATTTTTTTATGAATAATAGGGAACTGAGATTACTAGGGAAATGGTTGGAAAGTGAGTTTAGTAGGAAAATGTAAAAAAAATTGTTTGGTATGAAAAAATTTTACCGGGAAAATTAAGTAACTTTTGTGAAGTCTATGTTTGGCTTTTGGTAAAATATAGATGGAAAAATAATGTGGTATGACATAAATACCCTTGGTTTTATACAATTTTGCTTCCTTCCCATAATGATGTGCTAAATTCAGTACATCGTTACCGGCCAAAGTTTTTGAGCTCTTTTCATGGCCTACTACCTTATTATGATCCTTATGAATTCAAACACACATGCCTGTCCAGAAGTCAGCCAAATGGACTTATTGACCGATCTGCTGGAGATGAACCATCAAGAGAAACAAAAATATGTGTTGCGGTACCATATGTTACAGTAAAAGTTTTTCCATTCTTTGAAAAATGGACGGAATTTTCTTTATTGCATGAAACATATAAGAGCTCAATACCAAGAGGATGCTCATCGACCTGAAGGTGTTGATGTTGATAATTTTCTTGTCAATAGGGAGGCTTCTTCTTGTGTATATTTCATCCGTGGATCCTGCAAAAGAGGCAGTAAATGTTCATTTTCTCACTCATTTCAAGCTAAGAGACCCCGATGCAAATTCTTCTTTTCCTTGCAGGTAATGAAGATAATATCAGAGGGTATATTTGTCTGAATTTTAATGGACCCATGTGATTTAGCAGGCAATCCTAAAAAAACCACCTACCACAAAGCTTTTTGAACAGTGCAGAAGTCTAGCAAAACTCCTCCAAAATGAAATAGCTATGCATCTGAGTTGCCTGGGTGTTCACCCATTTCCCAGTGTCCCAAACGCATCATTTCCAGAATGCTCACTTCATTTGCATGGGATAATGTCAAATACCCTTCAACCAAACACCACCTAAGGGTCTTTTTCTCAGTTTAAATATGCCCCAAAGAACTGCAGTGTCGAAAAGATTAATATTGCATAACGAAAATAACGGATAACCTACAGTTAAAACCAACAACATTAAGATATGCAGTTTGATACTCACTAAAAAAAATATACAGTTTAATTCAAATCAGTAAACCTACACCAGAGTTCTAAACAAAAACTTTAGGAATAAGTGTAAATTACCATGTTTAACGTAAAGTAAAACCTTTTTTTAATTTTTAGAATTGGTTGATCCCGAAATCCAAACTTACTTGTGTCCCTGTAATGTTTAATTTACTTACCCTTCTTTCTCAATAACTACCTAGGAGGTAAACAAAGACTAAAATGCTTCTTTAAAAGAAATGCGACAATAATAGGAGTACTCACTGCTTAACTTGGCTATGCTGTTCTGGTGAAAGAAAAGTTTGATCTCTTCCAAGACCCACTCTCAGATTTGGTGCGTATTCTTCATGATGATAACAACTTTATGTTGTGTGTTCATTCTGCAGGAGTTTAGTATTTATTTGTTTCTGGGCCTCTCGCCTCCATATGTACCCAAAAAAAAAAAAAATTTAAATTATTTGTCTAGTACGAAAATAGTGGAATTGGACCCAAAGCCCAATACTCTCCCTGCTGTAAACTACAGGCCCACAAGGGTTACAATTAAGTCCAATTACTTGAAAGACTATCAGCTAGTAATTGGACTGGGGACTTGCCTATCAGGCCATTTTGAATTTTGTTGAATTGGTAGGACCCTTGCATGTAAGTTTTGTGTATAGAGTGCCCACATTGATAAGAAGAGTACTTTGTCCTACATAACCAAATCATCAAATTCACAATCCGCTAACTTTATTTATTTCTATTTTCATTGCTTTTGCTAGCATTGCTCCTAGACCTAGTCAGTTGCGCTGTTACTATAAGTTAAGAGAGTAAAGAGAAGTTGTTAGTAGTTATGCAGTTGTAAAATGATTACGTGGTTATAAGGCTGACAGATGGTTAGTGTAAAAGATAAAAAAAAATAAAAATAATACGCACTGAACTTTTAATATAATTATTATACTGAATTATAATATTAAAATTATTTTTTCCTCTCTTTTTTTCATAAAATTTTCAGATAACATGAAGAGAAAAAAATTAATATTATAGTTATGTACTTTTTTAGAATATATAAATTTATAATAGACCGTTGAGCTGACTAGTTACCCCTGTGTATAAAATCATGCAGACTTAAGGGAGAGACTCAGACTTGTAAATACTTTGAATAAATTTTCATTTTCATTCATTCTTTTTTGTGATTCACTCTTAGACAGGATCGCTAAGCCTATTGTTGGTGATTTCATTACTGCATCATGCGATCCAGGATTTGGCAAAGGAATTGCGTTCTTTCCAGCTGTACATGCAGCAAAGAATCATGGAGAATCATGCTCAAACTTAGGCACAGATCCAAAGCCTTGAAGCTCGCTTGGACAAGAACCAAGCTTAGTTAGCGATTTTGTTATCTCAAATGCAAGAAATACATTCAGTGTTGTTCTCCGAAAATCAAAGCTCTATTTTTTTCTACTCGAAGAAATTCTGCATTTTTCTCAACAGAGAGTTTTGTCTCTATTCTTGTAGCTCCAAGAAACTCTTCACTAGGTTCAAAGGAAAGCGATGCAAAGAAATCTCCTTCCCATCCCATAGCCCCTATTCTTGGTGTTTCAAGAAACTTTGGCTATGTTTGATAACTATTTTTAAAAATAGTTTTTTGGTTTTCGAAAAAAACAAAACAAAAAATTCTCTTGATAAGGCTTATTTTATAAAATAAAAAAAATTAAAAGTTATAATTATTTTTTTGTTTTTAGAATCAAATTTAGATAACATGTATGGATTATTTTTGTTTTCTGTTTTTTGTTTTTAACTTTCAAAACAAACAAAAAATATAAAAGATACTTATTTCCATAACTATTTTACAAAACAGTTTTAAAAACAAAAAAAACCAAAACACAATCTTTGTGTCTGGTTCCAAGTGAAGTAATGCAAGGAAATTTATTTCCTATCCAACAATCCCGATTTTCGATGATTTGAAAAGACCTACTTTGGGTTCAAAAGGAAATGTGGATCCACCTCTCAAGAATGTCCTCACTCATCCCACATTTTAAGGATTTCCAAGAACCTATCAGTGTTACAATAAGTAAAGAAAGGGGAGTGAAATTGTTAGTTTTGTTTAAGTAGTTATGTAACTGTAAAATGATTATGTGGTTATAAGGCTGACGTGTAGAGAGATGGTTAGTTAGCTAAAAGATGGAGGGGACCACTGTATATAAAATCACGCGGACTTAGGAGAGAGACTCGGACTTGTAAACACTTGAACAAACTTTCATTTTCATTCATTCTTTTTTGTGATTCAGTCTTAGATAAGATCTCTAAGCCTATCATGCGCCTTTATAGCTATCCTCACTTTCAGAAAGTCGAGATTGTGAGACTGATCATTTAGGTGTTTAATTCAAGAGCTATTTGTCACAACCACTTTTATTTAGGACTTTGATTTTCCTAGTTTGCAAACACTGGACCAGGGTCTTTATCGAGGGCACTAGACCAAAGTCCTTATGAAGGACACTGGATTGACACTAGATCAAAGCCCCTATCCTGAAACTAGCATGGAGTTCTTATCAAGGACACTTGACCAAAGTTCTTATCTTGACACTGGACCAGAGTCCTTGTTGAGGAAACTAGATTTGAGCCCTTATAGATGACACTCAATTAGAGTCCTTATTGAGGACATTGGACAAGAGTCCTTATTGAGGACATTAAACTAAATTCCTTATCGAGTAAACTATACTAGAGTCTTCATAGAGGATAATATACCAGAGTCCTTATCGAGGACACTAGGCCAAAATCTTTATCAAGGACATTGGACAAAAGTCATTATGGAGGACACAAGACCAAAGTCCTTATCTTGACACTAGAGTCCTTATAGAGGAAACTAGACCATAGTCCTTATCTTGACATTAGACCAAAGTCTTTATCGAAGACACTGTGCCATAGTCCTTATAGAGGATTATTGACCAAAGTTCTTATCGTAACACTAGACCAAAGTCCTTATAGAGGACAAGACCAGAGTCCTTGTAGAAGAAACTGGACCAAAGTCCTTATCTTGACATTGGGTCAAAGTCTTTAGCGAAGACACTGCACCAGAGTCCTTATGGAGTATTCTTGACTAGAGTTCTTATGCTAACACTAGACCAAAGTCCTTATGGAGGACACTGAACCAGAGTCCTTATCAAGGACAGTGGACTAGAGTCCTTATGGAGGACATTAGACCTAAATCCGTATCAAGGACATTGGTCTATAGTTCTCATTGAGCATATTGGACCAAGGTTGTAATTGAGGAAACTAGACAAGTCTTTATCCTAACATTGGACTATAGCCCTTATCTTTGTTCTTGCATTTTTTACAAAAAAATTTATTTTCCAAACTCGAACCCATAACCTTCCAACTAAAAAAAAACTTACTTACCGCTCCAAGGCTTAATTAATATCAGAATAGAAACCAAGATACATGTCTAAATTGAGATTTATCAGTCCCATTTGCTTTTTTTTAGTATCTAGTTATCAAATTTTAACTAGCTTTTAATATCTTTATTCGTATGAAATCATTGTTATCTATCATTAGTAAAGGAAAAACTAATACACCATGAACTTAAAATAAACAAATAAACCACTGATTTAAAGTTTGAACCTATGACAAATTCGAAATGGAGTTAAGATTAATATCAATCAAAACATAAGCTAGGAGATGAAAGGAGTAGACAAGGTATCACTTTATCTGAGCACGATACCAAGTTTAGTCAAACCCCATATGATTCAACGTGCTTCTCATTCAAATGTTCCCCAATCATTCTGACTTGGCATTTACACTACCTGTTGTGCTCGGTAACGCTTGAATTATAAGGTCCCAGAAAGCATACTAAATTATTCGGTTTTGTTTTTGCCTTAAAATGATTCCGTTGTTCAAAGGAACACTCTCTGCGTGCCTGGGATACCACCAACCCCACTGTCACTCACTCACACACCAAGCCACAATCACAAGAGATTTTTTCAAGCTTGAGGCTTAACTTTTCTCTTTAGGTCTTATCCCACTTTTTAGACCCCAAAAGTCAGGCTTTTTATGTTCTTTCTTCTAAAGCATGCACATATGTCCATTATATGTAATTTGATCAATAGGGAAATGGGTCCCATTAAACAATTATCTATTTTGCTCCAATTATTAAGGCAACACCTAGTGTTCATTGTGTAGTGGCAAGAATTATTCTGTAAATCACAATCAAGTGATATCTACAAGCAGCTTAAAAAATGAAGATACAAATTTTATTTTGCTACATTTGTTGTATAGTTTATCTTCCATCTTTTCTTTTCTACTTGTTTTGCTAAGTTAACAAATGTAATCTCAATTTTCTTGCTGGCAACCAATTAGAAGGGAGGATAGTGATGGAGTTCGGATTATAAAGATAAAAACAAAACGAATGCGTTGGGTTATTGAATTAGGTGGCTCATAAAACAACAAGCAAGTCAATATCAGGCTGCTAAATAATTGCAAAAATAAATTGTGAAGTTGCATAGGCACATCACAATACTAGAACACTGTATTTTGTAGTCCCTACACCTTTAGTGAATGGATTAAATTTTAATCGCGTATTGGCTTTATCATATCAGCAATGTGTTTTTAGTGGGTTTGAAACCACTGCGTTACAAATAAAATTTGCATTTATAAAAGTCATTTTGTCATTTGAAAAATAATGTCGTTTTCCAAAGTGGGTCACGCATCATAATTAATTTCACATTGTATCATTTGTTTTAGTCTCGGTCGGCTGTCCGCCTAATGTAATTTGACGAGCATTCAAAGAAAAGAAAAAATATTTACAATAATTTCTTTAAATTAAATTTAAACGAGATGTTCTTATAATTTAAGATTTTCAGATATAAAATAAAACACATATTCACAAATAAGCTCCTTGACGATGTCGGTTTTCTTACAATTTATAAAAGGAATGTTATAACGCGTAGTTTAAATTAATTTGAATTCCCTGCAACTAAAAACAACAGTTATAAGTAAAAGCGAACATGATTTTTGATTTAGGTAAAAGAACCGTCAATGGATCAAATTTTACATAGAAAAAACCATAAACTTTTTATTTTCAAATTCATGAAAAAAATATAAACTTTTAATTGAAATTATTAACTTTAAAAATTAAAAGCAAAAGAGATGGATAAAAACTAAAAGAAATTATTTAATGTCTTATTTCAACCGGATCATAATCATGTGTGTATATTTAAATACAATTGATGATCTCATAATTCTTTTCTCCTCTAACTAAAATACTTCGGACGTAGACTCTCTCATGTTAAAAAATATAACATATTGTTATCAAAAAAAAAAAAAAAAATATAACATAATCACGCGAAGAATCATAATTATACAAAAGTGGATCAATAATAATAAAGGAAGAGAGAGAAATATTAAAACAGATAACTACAAAATCATAATCATTAATTCACCTTTGTAGAATTATGATTTTCTCGCATAACCATATCATGTCATGTATGATTGTGATCTTTTCTATAATATGTGTAAAACCGAAATGTTATGTTTATTTATCATTAATATATAGGGAATAAAGCATTTAATGTTACTTTAGAAAACTTTGTTTCAAGATTGTTGGATCGCAATACATATCGTGTATCATTTTCCAATTTTTAGTATCGTGAATCGTATCGAATCGTAAGATATAGAAATATAATAAAAAATGGGAAAGGATATTGTAAGAACCAATTAGTGTTACTACCAATGTTACTACCAATCAATTTCACCGTTAGATCGATTATGTTGATCCAACGGTTATTTATTTCTATCTTTGTATGGTTATGATTCCTCATATTTAATACTTTATATTTATTTCTACCTTTGTATGGTTATGATTTTTCATATTTAATGCTTTCACATCAAATATGGGAAATCAAAATCATACAAAGCTGAAAATAAATATAACCATTGGATCAACATAATCGATCTAACGGTGAAATTGATTGCTAGTAACACTAATTGATTGTTACAATATCTTACCCCATTGAAAATAATATAAAAATATATTGTATAATATAAATCCAAATTTCAAAAAGGATCCAATAAGCAAAATACATAAGTAATTAAAGTGAAAACCAATTATTCTCCTATTCATCAATCCTTAAGATTAGTATTACCATTACTATCACTATAAGCATATATCAGTGACATAACTAATGCATTATTCTCTTCCAAAATGGATTCTTTTAGATTAATATTTTTAATTTAAATCACAAATCAATTATTTATTTATTTTTATATTAAAAATTGTATATTTTGATTTAATTTTTGTATCGTATGATACACGTATTGTATCGTATCATAAGATACATTATCGTATTGTTTGATATAAATCTCTTTCTAATACTCGCATGATATGTATCGCTGGACTTGTGAATCGTATCGTATCGTATGAATCGTATCATGTATCGTAAAATACTGATAACTACGATTTGTCTAATGTTTAACGAAAAAACATCATTTTTGGGTTGAAAGATTAGAAATAATTCTAAAATAAAATAAAATTACAAACATACCATACATTTTATCCTAAAATAATATTGTTTCGGTGAATTAAACAAAATTTTCTAACGTAACATTAGAAAAAACCAACCCTAATATATATTACACGTGGAGCTTAATTAGTAAGCACTGCATTTAGATTTTATAAAAAAACTACAGAAATTATTTAAAAATTAAATTAAAGTATGGATATTTTAGTCATAGTGTTTACTTATTTAATAAAAAGTTGAAGAACTTTATTTTAAGGAAAAATAATTTGTCACCTTAAAGTTGTAAGTTGTGTTAATTTAACTACTTACAAGTATATATATGGAGAGTAGATAGTTACAATATTAATTTTTTTTTTCTCCTCATAAGTTGTCGGTATGTATTCTATTGTTATTATTATTTAGTTTAATATTTTGTTAAATAATAAAATAATTTATTATATATATACTTTGTTCATTAAAGTAATTATATCATTTTATAAATTTATAAAATACTTATCAATTGAAATTTATATTTTTTCGTTAAAAATATATGTATCAATTTTTATAATAAATGTATATCAATGTGCTAAATCATATATTATAAATTATGTATCAATTTTTACAATAAATATATATCAATGTGCTAAATCATATATTATAAATTATGTATCAATTTTTAATTAAAAAGTATAATTTTATTATTTTTATTTATTAAATAAAATTGTGAATATTAAATACCATTACATAATTTTAATATTAGTTAAATAATTAAAAATCAATAACAGTGAGTGGTGTCAATAATGAAGTTACATTTTTTTTTCTTTTTATTAAAACAAAATAAATAAAACGAAACTCTTCAATTTTCTTTCTGAAATTACCCGTTTTAACTGGGTGAATATATATAACAGAAAAGGGCAAATCCTGTTATTCACCAAACAGGTCCCATTGTATGTCTGAAACATTCAACCTTCTTCAACCACCTTCCTTATGAACACGCATTCCCTTTCTTTCTCTTTCTCTTTCTCTCTCCGTGGAAATTGCTTCCTTGTCTCACTCTTGCAATTTCCCCACCTTTCTTCCTTCCTTCTATAAACCATGATCCCTTCATATTCCTATTCCTATTCCTAATATACCCAATCTTCCATAAAATTTCACCCCCTCCCTTTCTTCCACACCAAAACGACCATGCCGTTTCCGTGGAAGAAAAACAAAAACAGGGTCACCCGAATATCCCAGATCGTCGCCGATTTCCAATCTCCAAAACGCGGCGGTTCCCTCGTCGTCGAGACCGGCTTCCCCACCTCCCTCATCGATCTCTTCGTCAAGAACCGCAGCCGGTTCAAGAAATCCAAGTCCAAGAAACCGGTTCGACCCGAAATACCTGATCCGCCGCCGCCTCCACCTTCGCCGGAAATCACTCCCACGCCGCTACCGGAACCACCGACTCCGACCGTTCCCCGCGCGGAGGCTCCGAGGCTGAGTCTGTCGATCGGAGAAAACGGCGAGGGGGTTGCGGGTGCGGTTTCGGGTCGGGTCGGAGAATGCTGCGGTTGTGGATCGGGATCGAATATGGTTGTCGGTGTTGTTGTGAAGATGTTGGTGGTGGCGGTTTTGGTCGCGACCGTGGAGAGGCTCACGGTTGGGATCACCGTGTCGGCGTTTGCGCTTCTGTTTCTTGAATACGCAGGTAAACGTGTCGTTTCGTGTCTTGGGCCTTGTTCCAATGCAAGCGTGACGGTGCCGGTGGAATCTTTATCCCAAAGGGTCTCTTCTTGTGTTTGGTTTCAGAAGCTTCTTCTTCAGTTGAAGGTGAAGAAAGAGTGTGAACATGAAACAACAAGAGCTGAATTGAGCTCTTGTTCTTTATCGATTGATGAAATTGAAGTTGTGGAATCAAAGAGTGAGGTTGGGGTTTCTTGTGAATTGGATTCGATTTCTCTCATTGGTGACATCACATGGGGTTGTCCACAATTGGTGGATGATGATGATGATGATTCTTCAAAGGGAAAAATTGTGGCTCCATGCCTATGTGAAGTTTCTGAATGCAAAACTAAAGTTAGCCGTAGTGGTAGGTTTAAGTCCAAGATGGTGAAGAAACTTGTGCCTAAGAAGTTTCGTGCCTCTAAGAAAGAGAAAAAAGAGAAAGGAATTAAACTGAGGGAAGCTGAGTCAGGTAGTGAAGTTTCAAGTGTTGTGGAAGAAGATAAGGTACAAGATGATGTTGGAGAAGAATTGGAAGAGAATAGAAATAAGTCATCTTTGTTGCTTAAAACTGAACTTGAGTGTATAAGAGATGATGATGGGGTTGATTGTGGAATCACTTGTTCCAAAGTGGCAAAGGAGGAGAAGAGAATAGGTAGTGTTGTTGTTGGGCATTCAAGTTACGCAATTCTACTTGTAATTACCCTTGTTGGGCTTCTTGTGGGTCGTTTCCCTGCATTGATACTTATAATGATATGGTGTTTCTTGCTAAAGATAGTTAAAACTCTGTGGAGATCACAGAATGTGCCTGTGATAAAATGTTATGTACCAAAGTCTTGATGGAGGACTAGGTGGTCTTTTGGGGAAACAGTTTTTCTTGCACAATTTTCCTTTTTCTTCTTTTCTTCTTCTCTTACTAGATGATATAGTCTAAAACCTTGAAAGCTTATTCCAGTGATAGGATCTCCAACCATTTGTTGGGAAACCAACTTGATGCGATCGATGTATTTTGAATGTAAAATTTATAGATACCAGTGATAGTGGATACATACTTTGACCCAGATCCTTTATGTGTCATGTATTTTTGTTCAATTGCTTATGTTTGAGCCGTTCATTGGATTGAGAGATAAACGAGACGGCAAACGATGTTATTGTTCAGAGGTTCATGTAGGAGATAATACAAAAAATGTGTTGGGTCTATTTAGGGTAATATGATGCGAAGAGAAAGAAAGAAAAAATTAAAGATTTTATATATTTTTATAGGGAGGGTTATTGGGCGTTTGGTATGCGTCATTGTGTAGAATTTCCGAGAAACTGAATTTTTTTAAATTTTTAATTTTTTAATATTATCGTAAACTGAATATAAAAGTCATATTTTTGAAAATCAAAATTTCCGGACAAAAATTTTTTTACGAGTAGTTACACTTACTACCCTTATAACCAATCTAATCACCATTAATTAGAATTAAATCTAACGTGATTAGTTACTTCTTATAATCTTAATTTTTTCTCTCACATCCCTTCTCTCTCTGTAGGTTTCCATTCCCTCTTTGTGTGCCTCTTTCTCTCTCTAGATTTGGAAGGTTCAATGGCAGTTTTGATTCAACAATTTAGAGATCAATATCAGAAAAACATATATGAGAACCTCATCACTTTTAGGCAAGGAAAGATACTGAATGAGTATATAAAAAAAAAACTCTAAAGCATTTGTGGTAAAGGCTTCCAACAATTTGAAGGAGAAATGATTCGTATACTTAGGCAACATAATATCTAAATCGAGAATGTCCATGGAACCTAAGAAGATTAAGAGTATACTGCAATGGCTTAGGTTTGTTAACAATAAAAAATTTGTTAAGTCATTCGTTAATCTTATTAAAAAATATAATTTTTTGTATTACTGATCTAAAAGTGTCTATTGCTCAGACCTGGACACTACACCTAATTAGTTTATTTCTTCTTGCTGTTTTATTTTTGCTTTGTTGTGTTTGGGGCACTGCTCCATTTGTTTACCCAAAAAATAAAATAAAGAGAGATAAAGAGGGGGATGAAAACTTAGAGAGAGACACAGAGGGGATGTGAGAGAAAAAAATTATGTTTATAAGTGATAATTAATCACCATTAGATTTAATTCTAATTTAAGTGGGATTAAATTGATGGTAAGTGCGTTAAAATTAGGTAGTGGTAAGTATAACACTCTCCATAATTAATATGTATAAAGGTAGGTTACCAAAAAAAAATATGTATAAAGGTATATTTGTAAATATTTATAACATTAAGATAGGCTATACAACTTTACATTTATAATATTAAATAAAATGTCTACGCTCCAAAAGTTACTATAGTGCGTGTCCAAACCTGTAATGTCTTGGGACTTGCATACCGTGTGCGTATGTGTTTTATATGCGAACTTAGTTTTGAATAAATGAATGATTTACGCGGTGTATTGAATTAAGATTTTAAAAGTTTTTTTGAAATAAATTTTTTAAAAAAAATTATTCAGAATTGAATGGACTTTCTCAAAAGATTTTTTTTTCGATCGAAATTTCATAAGATTGGATTTTATAGAATTTTAATAGATTTTATAACATTTGAAAAGACAATATGAATTTATAAGATTTTAAAAAATCGTATAAATTTTTAACAAACATATATAATTACAAGAGTCAATAAAAATAAGTTAACAAAGAAATGCAATGATATTAATAAAAAAAGTAAAACATAATATAATTTTCTCAATTAGTAATATTCATGATAAATTTTCATTTGAAATTTTTTGCAATTATCTTGTAAACCTTGGAATTTTTGTTCTATGTGATGAAAGTTTTCTAACCATATATCATATGCATGTTTTCATTGAGTATTCCAAGAAAATTTTGAATCTGAATTTTTGAATTTTATTACATGAAAGTTTAGAAAATTTCTCAAATTATATTCAGTCGACACATTGAAACCTTAAATTTCTTTAAAGGTTTTGAAAAACAAGTTTTAGTGATCTATTGACACAAAAGTTGTTTAAAATCGTTTCCTATAGCGAAGAAGATTCATTCAAGAATGTATTGTTATGAAACATAGGGTTCATATTATGAAAGTTTCAATCTTTCTTCAAAACGATATTGTTTCATTAGTGTGAAATGAAAATTAGTTTGGGGGTTTCTGTTCCCTGTTGTTTTCATGCTTTATGTTATTTTTAAGGGGCAAGATATTGTAACAACCAATTAGTGTTACTATCAATATTACTACCAATCAATTTCACCGTTAGATGATTAGATCGATTATATTGATCCAACGGTTATATTTATTTCCACCTTTGTATGATCATAATTCCCTATATTTAATGTGAAAGCATTAAATATGGGAAGTCATGACCATACAAAAGTGAAAATAAATTACAGTATTAAATATGAGAAATCATGACCATACAAAGGAGGAAATAAATATAACTGTTGGATCAATATAATCGATCTAACAGTGAAATTGACTGGTAGTAACACTAATTGGTTGTTACAATATTCTTTCCCTATTGTTAATACAAAAATCACATGTTTCTGTACCAAGAAAAATCATGACCAATAGCGAAAATTTATTTTTTACACTTTCAAAAATTGCTCCAAAATCTATTGTTTTTTAGATGAATTAAATTAAATACTTTGTTGGATTGTTGTTTGTTGGTTGTTTTGTTATGTAAATCGCTCAAAAAATTATTGTTTTTGAGCCTTTGACGAAACTCTTGTGGCGGAACCCAATTTCGAGCGGGTCGACCGGCCAAAGGAAGAAGAAGATATTGCAATAGAGAAATCTTACGGGTGATGGTGAGATTGTAAGAGAGACATCCTATTTATATTTCTCACTAAAAAGTCTCACGAAATCCGCACCAATAGAAAATTCATTGAAATCGTCAGCTTTTTAAATATCACAAAATTGTTTTTTTTTGTTTAAAATCCTTATTGAATACCAATGGATTTGGAAAGACTCTACAATATTCTTTTAAAATCCTAATCGAATACCACGTGACTTTTTTTAATCCTTTAAAATCCTAATTGAATACTAATGGATTTTTTTGTCCAAAAATATTCTATTAAAATCTTTTGAGATCCTAATCCAATACACCCCCTTAGTATTTTATTCTAAATGTTCCATGTAGGGGTTAAACTGGGCCAGGCCGGCCTACAGAGTCCTACGGCTCGGCCTACGTCAGGCCAGACTTGACCTAGTATATTTCGTAAAATAGGCCGGGCTTGGACATTGAAAAAGCTTGTGTAATAAAAATGTCGTAGGCCCATTTTCACAAGGTCTGGCCTATAAGCCTACAGGCCGGCTATATTGTACTATTTATTTTAAATAAAATAAAATAGAATAAGTATGTCTTCTAGAAAAAACAAAATATATAAATTTAATCAATTGCAATTATTTATAACTTAATTATATTCAACTAGCTCCTGAAAAGGAATATGTTGATTCTCTCCTAATTGGTTGGACCGTAGGTGTGATGATTTACTTCACGGGGAGAAGACAAAATTGTTTCAAGCACCGACAGAACCAGAAGCGCCCCTTGGAATAACTCTGGTTATCAAATGATTGCAACCGGGAGCAATTTACTTACGATACTATTTTAATAAAAATCTGACTTTATTTCTTACGTAGGAGGAACCAACATCTCGACATGTTAGATTGTGTATATGAATATAGTAAAAGGTTTTAAGGAGAGGTTATACTTACTACAAACATTATGATGTGTTTGTTGGATTCATGTAGTTATTTTAATTTACATAGTATGGATTTGTTTGTTTGATATAATGAAATATATGTTATTTAGTTTGAGGATTTTGCTTTTGAAAGTGACTTAAAAGCAGATTGTATGAGTTTTGTTGTGATTCATGATTCTGTTTGGACGTTGAATTATGATTTTTGGTTTAGCAACAGAATTTATGTATTTTGTAAAGTTGATTCATAGTTCTGCTAGAAAGTTAAAAATTAACAGGCTAACGGGCTAGGCCAGGACATTTGTTTTTTTATAAACGGGTCAAACTAGGCTAACAATTAGACTCGTACAAGGCTTGAGTCAAACCAAATTGAAATTTTTTAACGTAGGTTTGAACTTTTTGAGGCAAAGCTTGACCCAACCCAGCTGAATTCACTTTCACCCGTAGTTCCATGTTGCAACCTTACAAAAAAAATTACAAGTATTTTTTATTTCATTTTTCTTCTTTTCAATATTTGATGGACACAACGACACATTAGTTGCATACTTAAAATGTCATTTTGTCTTTTTTCTATAATTCAAATATTCCCATAAATTTTGTTGTAAAATTAATTCCTTAAATATTATCATGATAAATTAGGAGCGTGTCCAACCCTTGTTAATTAGCAAAAGGATATTATCTATATAATACTATATAAAGATGACTGTACTTATTATTTTTATTCAAACTATTCAAACATGAATCTAATGCTCAAGATATTCTCAACCACGTTAGCCTCGATGTCCCAAAGCAACTTCGCAAAACACGCAGAGATGTAAAATAGGTCCAACTTAATTTATTTTATTTTTTTTGGTATGGAGGTCCAACTTATTTAATCAGCTACAAATTGGAAATAACTTGAAATTTTTAATTTGCCAACTCATTTGAACCCGTCCCATCCAGAGATGGATCGAAATGAGTTTAACTCGCCCTGTTGAATTAATTTTTTATGTTTTTAATTTTAAAAAAGTTAATTAATGGCATTTTTTAATTTTTTTTTTATCTTCATTTAATGTTTTTTATAATTATGAGGAATATAATTTTTTTTTAAAAAAATATTTTGGCTTGTTGGCAGCAGCGGACGAACGGGGCTAAGCGATCTGCCGAAGCTGTGGGGTGTACAAATAATAAATCGGTCTTTTTTATCTTTTCTCACCCTTCTTCTTTTTTTTTGTTCCTTATTTTAGCTCGACGGAAATTTTTTTATTTTTCTAAAGATTCTCTCAAATAGAAATAAGTTGAATCATTTTAGAGTAAATATCTTTTTTGGTTATCAGCAAGTTTTACGATACCTGTTTTAGTTCCTAGCATATAAAAAAGTTATTTGTGATCCCGAAAAAATTCAAAATGGATCCAT